CCTTTCCTTTCCTTTCCATTCCATTATCCATAGTTTTATGCATAGTGGATACTGTAGCTGCAAATATGTTTTCATAACATTTAGGTTTTTTGAAACTTCTATATCCTAAGTTGTTAACCATCACCTACTTTTAAAAACTAATATAATAATCCCACTAATTTGTGGACCAAAAAAATCATAATTTCAACTTTCTATTTGTCAAGTCAGTTAAGTATTATTTTCTTTTTTACAAAATTGAAAGTAATTGTTTTTTACAAAAACTGAAAGTAATTGCTTAGCTACACACATTCTTCCATTGTTCTAATATATCATGGCTTAACTTTTTAACTAAAAGTATTTTCCCCCTTCTTTACTGGTTATTTTTTAGGAGCTGGGCCTTGTGATTACAGGAACTCTGCCTGTCTTCAATCTAACAAGGGAACAAAATGGGAAAATTGTAAGCTTTTCATTCAAAAACAAAAAATAGTTGCAGTTATATAAATTAAATTAAATTAAATGTTAAATGCCTTGAAGTATGTGTATTTCCATAGATTATTTTGCAGTGTAATTGTCTTGTACATCAGATACAAAGGGGTCATATCCACTTACCTGATCACCTCCTGGGAACAGGAAAATGCAGTGCATTCTTTTACCTTTTTTGTCATTCTGAGTTTCAGGATGTGACATTTCACTATCTCGTAGTGGCAGTGGGAATGCATTAAGTGCTCAATTATATGGGAAGTAGATGATGATATTATTTAGACTTTTCTAAGAAATAATGTCTAGATAAATTTCTAGCAAATCTCTGAGGCTATGACATTTCAGGGTAAAAGGCAGTGATGTAGAAAATACAAATTAGTACATAATTAGTAATGATAATGGAAAAGAGCACTATATTTAGATTAAATTCTAAGTGTTGAATAAATAAAATTGCCCATCCCTATTACTGTCTGACATGGAATCTGTGTCCTCTTCACAAAACAAAAAACAGACCTGGAATATACTTGAACAATGTGTGGTAAAATATTGTGCTTTTGTGTACTCCATTCAGGTCAAAATATACAGAAATTTAGACCAAATATTATTTGATTCAGTTTCTAATCTATTATATAGAATGAATCAATGAGGTTTTCAGATTTCTTTAGTTTACTTTCAGAATAGTTTTCTTAGCTTCCTTTAAAAAAAAAGTTGCTTAATCTTATCTACAAGACAATGCCTGGAATTGTCTGAGTCTTGTTCAAAGTGACAGACTACTGATTATCAAAGGATGTCATTCTGAGAAGTAAAACAGACGTGATCTAGTACACAGGAGCAAGAAGAGAACTCCAATCTGCTCAATTTGTATCTCCACCTGAATATATTTATAGGCTGCAAGATTCCTCCTCCAGCAAATGTTACCAATTTATTTACTATGGAGAAGGGATTCAGGTCACACTATGTAAAAGACTGCCCTCCTTTTCTGTAGTAGAAAAATAAATTATTTGCAAAATAACTGTACTGCCTGAGTCCCTGATTTCAAATGCTGATGATTCTTTTACTCACTGAGGTTTTTTATTGTGTTGGAATATTTTTCATTCATTTTTATACTATAGCCCAAAGAGTTAATTGTTTTGAGGTCTCATTTACCAACTGCCCAACCTAAGCATGAAAAGTAGCACAGTGCTGGTGCTGCTAGTTTAGTATCTGCATAACCGGCAATATTATTGCATCACTTTTGCTTTCAGCTGTTTTTTTCTTACATATAATATTTAATCTGGGACAGTATCCATCTTCAGAAATAATTTTCATATTCTATAATAAATTCTAAATTTAATTAATTTTATTTTGGATCATTTTTGACATAATTTAAAATATTCAGAATAGGCACATAACTAAATAGGCAACTTCACATGTATCTGTCAAAAAAGACATGAAGGCAAAAATACAATTTTACTGACTGTTCAGTAATTCTGCATTGTAAATATGTCTAATACATACTAACATTTTGGATTTTTACCAGAATCAGCTGATTCTTGGAGTAATGGGGGTGGATGTCTCTTTGGAGGACATAAAGAAACTGACGCCCCGATTTACGGTGAGCTGCTTGCACTGGTAGTTTCCCATCACGTATGTTTAATGTGTGATTTCTATGCATGCTCTTTCATAAGTCATGCTGCAATGACTGGATTTGAGTCAAAATACCAGCAGGCTTCTTTTCATATATTCTTTCTATTGTTGTTCATTTTCTGGTGGTTTTCTCTCCAGCCATGTATGTGTTACTGTGTGATTTGTCCATCAGGGTGCACTGTGTAAAAGTCAGCTTTTGCATTGGGGGATGTATTACAAGTAATTATCTTCCTGTATCTTAAGGCACGGCTCTGTAGTTAAATGTTTAGTTAATGTAGAGTACACAATCATTTCAGCTGAAAATATTTGCCATTTGTCTAGGACAGCTCTTTCTAGAAAATTTCTTTAATATAGGGGTCTGTCTGTATCCTACTCAATATAATTGATTTATTTATGTAGACATCTAGCTGTGGAATTTCTGTGAAAATAACTGGTGCTGTGGAAAACAAAAGCTGGGGAGGAAAAGGAACATCACAAGTTTGACTGAAGGCAGACACGAAGTCCTACATTTAGAATGGAATAATCCCACACCACAGCTCAGGCTGCCTCAAAGGGCAGGAAAGGACTTGGGAGTCATGGTGGAGGACACACAGCACATAAATTAGCAGTGTGCCATGGCATTTAAAACCAGCTGTGCACTAAACATCTGCATCAGTACACTGTCCAGATTTGATTTCCTGAATGGTAATAAATACTCAGGCCCAGTGCAGAGCTACTAAGTTGGCCGGGGGTCTGCAGTACCTGGTACCTGGAAGAAGCTGAGATGCATTTGAGATGATGAAGGAGCCTAAGGGTTAGCTAATGGGAATTCTGGAGAAAATGGACCTTAACACTGCCTCAAAAAGAGGCTACCAGCATAGGTAGCTAGAAATTCCATTTCCAATGGAAATTCCAGCTGAAATTAGGGAAGAAGGAGAATAGAATGCCCTTCCCTAGGTTGAGGAATTTGCACAGGAGGTATTCAAAGAATTGAAACCTCGTCCAACTTCTAAGTTGATTTTTTTAGTTGGACTTTATTTTTTAAGTTGTACTTCATTTTTTAGCTTTCAGTGAGAGGTTGTACCAGCTGACCTTCAGAGGTTTCATCAGCCTAAATCATTCTCCAAGTTTATGATCCTAAAGGAGTAAAAAATTAAGAAATTATCTTGTCTGTGTTACTAATCTTATACTTCATGATGCCTGAGGCGTGTGTTTTCCACAATGTGAGCATTTCTTGAAAACCATTAATTACCCTTTCTTCATTACTTAAAACCATATAATGCTAAACTTCATTTCTTTCTTTCAGCTTTGTCCAAATGGATACTATTTTGCAATTGATCCTAATGGGTATGTGCTGCTGCATCCAAATCTCCAACCAAAGGTATGAAGCACCTTCTAATTTACTTCTCTATATTAAGGGGATATTTTCAGAAAAAAATCAGAAGGTATGAGACAGCAATAGTGAAAATTCTCAATTTTGTGTGTTATAGGAAAATCTGTGGTGCATATATGGTTTCATCCAAATCCACCAGCTTTGGCTTGTATTGAATTTGTTTATTAATTAAAAAAATGTATATTTTGAATGCATATTTATACATGTCAAGTGTTTTCAGATACCTATTAACATTAAAACAATTAGTAGTAGCTGTAATATCATTTTGAAAACAGTATAATCATTGGGAAAAAGTTTGAAGCAAACAGTTTTTGTGCACTTGTTTTTTGGGATGCTTTCTCATTTAAAAGATTGAAATTTTTGTACTTGCAAAACCAAAGAAATCAGAGGAAAACACAATGTGTTTTACTTGAATTGTTGTATTTATTTATTTGGTTGTTTTTTTGTTTACCAGAGCTGAAACCTGATCTCAGTTGGGATGGATTTAGCTGAGCACCCCATCCCAGAACACTAGATTTTTAGTAGATTAACTTGTTTAAACATGATACTTTTTTCTAAATACAATTAAGACACTAATCAAATTTCAGGAAAATAGAAACCAAATATTTCAGTTTGCCCATTTATCCATTAACTGTAGTCCTTACATTGTGGAGAATCCTACATTGTCTGTATCTTCTTAAATAACTTCCTGACATTGATGAGAAATGTCAACATGAATAGATGATTTTTTTTCTGAAATCAGAACTTTGATCTTGGTTTTAATGACAGGTTCCTTCATGTGAAACAATGTCCTATTTAGTGGACTTCTTGAAAATTCTCATATTTTAATTGCTTCTTTTCAGTGAACTTTGTCTCTTGAATTCTTAAGGTTATATTATATAAATGACAAAGTTAAGATAACTTTTTTAATTGTCAAAGACAGAAGAAGAAATTAAGCATTCATCTACATATTTTAGTGATTAATTTTATTCTTATTCAGGGAGAAGTCAGCTTTTTGAATATTTGAATTAATTTCCTGGTGCAGTAATTAATACATTTGAAATCTTTTGCCAAGTGTGTAACACAAGAAAGAAAAAAGTGCTTCTGAAGAAGAGAAAGAATAACTTGACTGTAACTTTTAATGAGATACCCCTTTTGATTTATTTTAAAAGACACTTCAAAAATATAAAGGAAAACCATGGAAAAGAAGGGTTTTATATAGTCTTCATAACTGAGCAGGACTTCAGTTTCTGACTATCTGCATTTGATTCTCATGTCTTAAAAAATGGAAGTTTTGATATTTTTTTTTTTTTGTGAATTCTTCAGAGGCAAAAACCTGCATCATGACCCAATCTTTTCTTAATTAGATGTTGTTAGTAATTGGCCTATTTATTTTTCCCTTGTATGCAAATTAAACTGTCTTTTCATTCATAGGAGTAATGTAAAAAGAAGCAATGCAATAGTCTTATTTTAGACCTAATCTTCTAAGAAACTGATGGACTGTTCATCTCAGATGTGCTGTTATCCTGCACTGTTGCCTCACAACGTTGAAGAATAAAAACTTATTTTTAAAACTCAGCTCATCCCAAATAAATCTAGGCAAACTGAGGTGGATTATTAGGATGCTAATTGTCATGGTTTCTCTGTATAATTTTCCTCTTAAAAGGATATGGAAGTCCTGAGATGTTTTCCCTTAATGCTCAAAACTTTAATTTAGAGTATGTTTAAAACAGGATGTTTTATAAGTAATAATTGTTATGTTGTAGAACAATGTCTAAGTGTAACATTAAGCATTTGAATTATTATTGTTATTGTTATTAACAGTTACACAGACTAGACTTTTCCACTCCCAGTTTGTGTGGGGTGGTGCATGCTATTCAGGCTGATAGAGGAACTGCAGTTTAAAACTAAGGTACTCGACAAAGACAGATGTATCCATAATTCATGGACTTTCTTTAACATGTCATATTAATTTTAGTTGAACCTCCCAGTAGCTGTTAACTTATTAACAAACATCATTTTAACCCTCCTTGCCAGCAATTTTTCAATAGTTGTAAAATAAAACATAACTACGTCTTTACCTTTGGAGAGGTGAGGGTTTCTTCCACTTCCAATTCTTCCTTCTTTTGAATGTCTTCTGCTTTCCTTCTGAAAATCTGTTTCCTGAAATCACAACTGGTTCAACACAATCATTATTTTGAGAAATTGACTTGGAGTTTGTAAAGTTGTTTGCACAACTGAGAAAAGTCAACAAACAACAAATTCAAAAGCATATTAAAATAATTTAAACCTTTCCCATCATGTTTTTATTTGCTGAAATATATGAAAATTATGTCAAAGCATAAGAAGAAAACTTTTAATATGCATCTTAATATAGTTTTAAACACTGTAAATCATTTTATATTTGTGTAATTAGCAAGTTTTTTATAGTACTTAATTTTATGTTTTATTGTCAATTTTCTTTGTGTGTGTCTGCATATATGCATTTATTTTTCCCACTGTTATGGGAGAGAACAGGTGGATGCACCACCAAACAAACATAGTCACTGAAGTGAGTCCATTAAGCATGTATTAACAAGCTAAATCTTAGTTACATTTTGAAAACATTAAATAATTCTATTTCTCAATCTATTCTAAAGATAACATATAACACAATATTATCCTATTCAATATGAAAATGAATAATATAATAAAGATAATTATCTTTATCATCTTATTCATTTTTACTATGGTTTTGATCAAAACCCATTTAATGGCAGTCCTAAAACTCCATATGCCTTCAGTGAGGTCCAATATTCTTTTTTTACTGTTTAGGGTTATTTAAGAAACTTAAGAGGAGTTGGGGTTTAGGATCAAATATAAAAGTAAATAAAAAGTGCGCTATTCTTATTCTATATGTTATTCTGTTAGAATATGTGGAAGGGAGAGCTCTCTGTTAATTTCGCTCACATTAACATATGTCTGCTTTTGTTTCCCTATCCTAAACCTTAGGTTTTAGGATAGGGAAACAAAACTTAGGAAGTGTTTAATTCTGGAAGAGAGCTCAGAACTCATGATCAGGATGAGGGGCAGTCTCTGCCTGTGGTAGTAAACATGCACTGGACAGCACAGATTCCATTCTATAAGTAGGCTATTAACTAATAGTGCAAAAATATAAATTACTGCTTTTTTGTTACTTCAGCAAATTGGTGTGGGCATACCAAAAGTTAAATTGAGAAAAAGGAGACCCCATGTACAGGTAACTTTGGATGGAGGTGATTAGTGCATTAGAATGCATAGACCTGGAAATATAATTAGAAAGCTTCTGCCCTGCTTACTAGGAAAAAATCTAACTAGAGAACTGTTTATTGTGACAAACAGCTTCCAAAGCATGAAGCTTGCATCCTTTCCTGTTTAAATAATAGAAAACATGCTATTGGCTGTAGTGAAGGGCATTCCATTAAATTATGATGCTTTACTAATAGGTGCTAATTAGAGTCGTGCTGTAAAAATTCTTCTTCAGATGTTGAAATTAATTTGAAGACTGGAAATAAAAAGAGACTACTTGTGCTGGCTTTGCTTGCATAAACCCAAAGTCAAGAGAAGATCAGAGGACAATTCTTGTGACTTTATTGCCAAATTTTATTGTACAGTGTATGCGGCATAAAATTACAGAATATGAGTTGTTCAGGTTTTTTTTGGTTTATTTTTTTTTTGAGGGGGGAATTCAGAGTAGGAAATACATTCTATCTGCCATTTATTTATCTATATGCTAAATTTTCTCAATTTAGCAGACCCAACTGCACAGAATTAACTGCCATTAGCCTGAATAGTGTAACTGGTCATGTTTATGTAATGCAATTCCTGAGGAAAAAACACTTAATGGAAACTTAAAAATCATGAAAGGAATAGATTAACTATATAATTAGAAAAATAGTAAACTTAAAGACAGTATATCAAGTCTGATTTCTTACACATTTGGGAATCTGTAATGCAAAACTTGTGGCCTGCACAGCAACACCAGTAAAACATGGTGTAAAATCCTGATCCAGGTCAGTGATTTCACCAAGTGTTGGGTGGCTGTGTTTATAACATGTGTAGAAGGCCACCTGAGGGCTGAGTTTTTGTTTGTGCACTGGAGAAATCAGCACTGAATCATAAAAAAATCTTGGTTTTCTTATCACACCTGTCTCCTGAGCTTGCCATGGTGTGCTCTGGCTGCTGCTGGGTTTGCCAGGCAGGTCTTGCTGCCCAGGGAGGTCAGCACTGCAAAAGCTCTGGGCACCCATCCCCTCCAGATGCTCCTGAGTTTACCTCTGTGACTTTTTTCCATCACTTCTTTCAAAATTCTTTTAAAAGCCCAGTAGCCTTTGTCTTCATTAGTACTGCAGGTATGAGTAAGAACTAAGCTCCTGCAACACAGCAAAGAAGGTCATCCATAGAATTTATGTGAAGTGACCTCCCAAAACACACTACAAAAACATTTTAGTTAATTTTTTTTTATATTGCTGCACCAGTTCTTTCTTTCTTTGTTTCCTTCATGAGTTGTCATTGAAATTATAGATCCTTGCCTTTATTTGTCCTGCTGAAAATGGATTGCAATCCTTTTGTTTGCATGCTTCATTGCTGGTGATTTATTTCTGTTCTGTTTTGTTAAGTTGTGCTGCTGAATGTGGTGGTGGTGGTGAGCTTATTCCAGTCATGTTACGGGCATGACTGGATAAAGAGAAGAACAAACTGAACTGTAAGTTTGTTTCTTCGTGGCTTGGAATAAACCCCAGTAAATGGCAACCTTGGAAATAAAAATGATGGAGCCCAAATACTGGTAAAAACATTCTTGGGGGAAAGAGACATAAAGGGGAATTAGTCTTCCCTTTTAAAGTAGCGGTGTAGGAATTTTCTGTCCTAGCTCTTAGTGGTTGTCTTTGTGCCTCAGGCACATCTAAGAATGCATTTATACATGATTAGGTTTTTCTGCCTATTAAAAGTGATTAATAAGTATCATATAAGAAATGTGAAATGATATAATATAAATCTTAAAAAGAAGAGCAGCTAATGCATACTTGAATTTTTACAGAATTAAAGTTTGCTATTTTGTCTTTGGGACTCCTTGACTATGACTAGCCCAGGTTATCATTTGAAATGAGTATTGACCTTGATTTGATGTGATGGCTTTATTATTTTTTTTCTTTTTTTTTTACCATTTATTTTCTTCTCTGTTCCTTTGTGTGTTGGAATGGAATGTGAACTTCATAAATGCCTCCTCTGCCATGCCAATGCCTTCATGCATGCTGTTTGGGTTTGACCATGCTATTCATTATCCATTGCATGTAAGATATATAAATTTTTATTTATTTTTACATTTAAGCCTTTTGTTACTTATTTTGAGAGTGTGGATTTGTTGGGAGGGAAAAGCAACTGCAGAGCAATAATTGAATAATTTTGAATTAGTAGGGAGCATACATTAATGCCATTATATTGAAGTTGCTACTTTTATCAATCATATATAAATAGATATGCAAAAATTTTCTTGAGGTTTTCAGTAAATATTTTAAAGAAATATTTAGAATATTCCCAGAATCTGTCTGCAGTCTTTTCAGTACATATTCTCTTCCTGAGAATAAATGTATTGTTTTTTCTTTTAGCAGACAGTAAGTCTTGTTAAGAACAGGAATGATTCTGTATAGCCAGAAACATGTACATTTTGTCCTTAAGAAAAAGAAGAAATAATCTTCTGTCTTCTGGAACTATTCTATATTACAATCTTGAAAATAAGGGCTGTTGTTAAGCTCTTAGTACTCCAGACTGTTACATGAAGGCATCTTTTACCATTTGCTCAGGATATTACTTGCTTCCAGTACATACATGTATTGTGATGAAACATGTATGCATTCCTTGATAGAGCAGTCACATGTACATTTGTCATTTAGCTTTGCCAGAGAATGCTGATATGGGGAATATAATTATAATTTTGAAGGAAGGGACTTTAGTCCACCTTTAATCTATATGTCAATATAGGAGAATTGCTGAAATCCCTTAATTTTTTTTTTCCTTTTCTACTCTGAACTGTCAGATTTAAATGGTTAAGTAATATATCCCCATAATTGCACTTGCTTTTAGGGAGTGCATTAAATAACTACTTGGTCATGAGGATGGATGATTTTTACAACACACACTGTATAAAGTCAATGAGGCTTAGGCAAAATTGCCAGAAAAAAAGTTGGATTCCAACAACTCATATGGAAGATGACTCTGGCCAAGTAAATGCAGACTGCAGCTGAGAAAGGAGCAGGGGCTGGAGGGTGGTCCAATTTAGTTCAGCAGGGCTACAGTGGTCTTCCAGCACTCCTGTGGGGCCAGGGTTTTTACACATGTAGATCACCAAAGTTCTCTGTGCTCCACAATTGAGGGTTGACATCATCAACGTTCCTTAGGTCTGGAAGCTTGGGTTTCAGTATTTCTGTGCCACAGGTTTCCATCTTCTAAACTGAGGCAACAGTACTGATGTCAAGAGAAATGCTTTTGAAACTCCAAGGTGTTCCGGGAAGTCCTGCAATGCTGACAATGAAAGTGGGGTTTATTTTTTATAAACCCCAAGTAATTGGCTGTAATTGCTGCCTTTTTGAATCTTGAACTGTAGTCTATCCCCACTTCACATCAACAAGCCTGTGTTGTATTTTACTCTTGGTAAAATTGCAAAGTACAGTTGCCCAGCTTACTGATTGGGTGGAAAACTCTCCCAAATTTCTCTCTCCTTTCTTGGAGGCAGGACATCAAGTGAAAGATCCATATCCTCTGCTTCCTCTGCTTGAGCCCCGTACATGACAGGCTGTGGACAGACACTGGCAATTAGTATTAATTTGATTTTCACTTATCCAATTAACCTCTCTTTTCAACAAATAAAATAAATGAGAAAGGGCCACTAGTAATGCTGCAAGAAATTAAAATAGATGGGTAAGTAAACCCAGTAAAGTAGGGTAATTTGAAATAAAGGGATTAGAGTGGTTTGTGATATTAAAGTACTCTGTCTTTATTATTTGATCATTTAATATCTTCTGCTTCAGAATCCTAAATCCCAGGAACCTGTTACGCTGGATTTTCTAGATGCTGAATTGGAAAATGATATTAAAGTTGAGGTGAGAGTACCTGGTTTCTTAATGCCTGTTGCTGCTCATATTTCACCATGTCATAGCTGCAAAGCAATGAATGTTATAGATTTTGAATGGGTATCTCTTTCAATATAAATCTGAATTTTAAATTTGGTAAGATGATGTCTTTATATAAAGATGAAGTTATATTTAGACAAATCCCAGCATTATTTATAGGCAAGGACAATGTATTCCTCTCATTTTGAAAACCACCATGATTACTACTTAAATTCTTCTTCATTAAAGCACCAATTCCTGAGCAGGAAGCTAGAAAAATTTTTCAAAACATAACACTTTTTAATAGATTATTTACCTGAAATATTTTAAAAGTATTTCCTTATTAATGCAAGATTGTTCCTGTGGCAAGAAGGAGAACTGAGAAACAAAGTGTAGACAGAAAATTAATTCCTCCGTATATTTTTCAGTTACTGATTTTGTAATATATTCAGAAATTATAAAATTGTAACATAATTAGGTTTTTTTCTGAAATCAAATTAAAGGCTTTTAACCATTTTACATTTTTAACATATTTTTGACTGAAATTGTTCTTTTATACTGACAGTAATCACCCTGCCTTGGTATCTGTTTAATTCTGCCTTAAGTTTCTTTGAAATGGCTGCTTCAGAGGGGAGTTACTCTTGAACTGGTACAAAAGTCTTTTTGTGAATCAGTGCTACAACCTGAATCACACAGATGTGCTGGCAGGGACCAGAAATGCTAGGCAAAACTTCTTTTCATGCAGAATGAAAACTTCATTTCACACAGAATTCATTGTCTCTGTCAGTGCCCAACATCAAGGAGTTTTATGGCATGGTCTGGCAATTGAAAGTATATCAGAATTGTTGCTTCTTAACTCTACTGATTGAGTAAATATTTGGATAAAACAACTTCTGATTGGAAAAATCTGAAAATTGTAAACAAAACTTATTTTTTTAAGAGTTTTGACTTCCATTTGCATTAGCATTTTCTGTGGTTTTAGGAAATATTTTGATCACTTGAATGATTATTCATGTCACATACAACACCTACACTTTTTATTTCACTTTTTCCTTTTCTTCCTTGCCAATAGATTCGGAAAAAAATGATAGATGGAGAAAGTGGAGAAAAAACATTTGAAACATTGGTCAAGTCCCAGGATGAGGTAAGATAGGAACCCAAAGAGTTACATTTATAGGAATAAACCAAGCTAGAAAAATAACGTGAAATGGTGAATTGCTGTGATATTAATTTTGTAATGACAATTTGTACCATTTTTTCCCTCCAGATTTGCTAGTTTTACTGGCTTATAGTAAGAAAAAATCTACTTAGGGAAAAAAGAATTGTTTTGTTTCTTGGTTTCTTTGGTGCATCATTAATCAGGCAGTTGTTGATGAGGTCTTACACTCTGTTCAACAGGAAATGGACCCAGCCTACTTCTGTGCATGAATTCCAAAACAAAGTGCTTAATTTGCTTGCAGAGATGTGTGAGAATGGGTTTGGTAGTTTATATTGTGGTTGAATGGGAAGAAAATTGTGAGAAAAAAATAATAAAGTAATATTTTTTAGCCATAAATGAAGACTCTTTGGGATAAGCAAATTCATCTTACAGTTATATCATGTACTTTCTGAACAGCTTGTTGAGTTCTTTATTTTCTTGTCCAAAATACTTATTCCTGAAAAACATTGCTACTGTTTTCTCTAATATGCAGACATTTTCTAGCAATAGGAAATACTCAGATTTGATATGGGTCATTACATGGGTGCTCTACTTCACGGGGACCTCAGTGAGAAGGAATCATGACTGGTGATCTGAAGGAGCAGCTCTGGCCAGAGTGTGCCCCACAGTCACAGTTCCACAGCAGCTTTTTGGAACCCTTTTGCTCTGACCATAAGTCAATTTGAAGATATGTAATTTGATGACTTAGCAGACACTGTACAACTCATAGATATAAACTCACTGTAACAATAATTAGAAGAATTTCTTGCAGTTAATTCATACTGACTTTCCCCTTTTCCCAGTGGGAAAAATGTCCTTGCCTCCTTTTGCTGTTTCATGCTTTCTCACAAGAAAATGCTAAAACCAAGCTTTACAATACTGCTTTTCAATCTCTGGGTAAATCCTGCCCTATGAAAAAATTGTGTTTTTTCCTGAAGGGCTGCAGTGTTGGAGAATGGTGCACAAATAGGTATTTTCTGGGGCAGAGAGGCTAAGCCCCAGTGGATGCCAGCTCTGCCCCCCTTACCTGTGTCAGGATCCCATGCTGTTTAGGATGTTTAGGATGCCACCAGTCTGTTCCCTTAAGGGAAACTGGGTCATTCCTGAGCCACTGTCAGAGAGTCCAAAGTCCTGCTGGCATCTGAGATGAGGATAAACTGCTGCTGAAGGAAGAGACTCCATGCGGGCACATTTTCAGATTTATGTTTTTTTGTTTAAGGAATGTCTTTCCAGATCTATGGGTGAAAAAGACTCTGTGTGGGTGATTGGAAGAGGAAGGGTTAGAAGGTCACAAAAAATACAATAACATGATTATGGTTGTACAAGAAATTGCATTAATGGCAAACATTTTGAAGAGATTTCAGGCTTTTTGTACATTTCTCAGGCTCTGTTCTACACAAGACCTGAAATAGTTAGTCCTGCAACTCTTTGCCCAAAGAAAGAGGGAGGGTAGTACTGGAAATGCTGAAGTCAGTTGCAGAATCTGGGCAGGAGGGAGGATATGACATCCCTGGGTGCATGAGAATGTGCCAGTTACACACGGCCCAGACCACAATCTGTGTTGGAATAAAATATCCTCAGCCTTTGATCCCAGATGTCTCAATGCCAATGAACTTAATTATCCTCACCTTCCCTTTCACCATGGCCCAAGATTTCTTCCTCTACCCAGACCTCTGTGGGAGAAGAAAGAGCAGCCAGAGCTGGCTGGCTATGATGACTGCTTCCAGCCATGGCAGCCCCCAGCTCCAGGCTGCTAGAACCAGAAAAAAGCTGCTTTAAACCACGGGCCACGCATGAGCCATGCATCACTTAGCACTTGATAGCTTCATATATTTTCTTATAAAATGGGCTGATGTGGTCGGCTGCTCTGAACTGACAGTTGCAGTCTTCGGGCTTAAAATTGATGTTCTTTTTGTTTTGCTTTTTTGGTTTAAGTTAGCATCGCTCTCCTTTTGTGTTGCAGCTGGCCCCAGCAGTGTCTTGGGAGATGACTTCATCCTACAGCATAGACACTGGGCTTGTAGCAAATGTGGGTGGGGTGCTCTGGAGTCTCCCAAGGCCTCAGGGGCTTTCCAAGGAACAGAGGAGATGCCATAGGAACAAAAGCATTGCCACATTTGGCAGCAGGGGTGGGCAGCAGTGAAAACTGAAGGGTCACAAAAGCTGCAATGTCATGTGTGAGTTCCTTGGCAGTGATCAGCTGGGGATGGGATGGGCTCAGAGTGAGGAAGCTGGCAAAGGTGAATGGGAGCTGAGGTGTGAAGATGTGTTATCTGCTGGGTTTGCTTTGGAGAGAGCTTTCAGCCAATTTGCTTTCAAGCACTGTGACAATGCTGGTGGCAACAGGATTTAATTACAGCCCTGTTCTTCTCTTCCCTCCCCTCCCACCTTGGGCACTGTTTTATTCTTGTGGGGGTACCCATGACACTGTGCCTGATTGGGGGGCGCTGCCAGCAGCAGGTTCAGGTGGCTGACTTTAGCCTGAAGTACACATTCAGTATAAATAGGCTTGAATAGGAATCTCTTCAACCATCTTTTTAACTTAAATATGAAATGTATCAGAGTGCAAGACACTGTTATATGCATCTTCTTTCTGATTTTCTTTTATCTTTTTTTTTTTCATTTTCTTTCATCTTTTCTTCATTTTCTTTCAAAAATGACTATTAAATTATTTTCCTGTCAAGCTTTACTGAAAAGCAGCAGCGAGGTAATGAGTGGGTTTGAATTTATTAATGTCATACAAGTCATGTCTTTTCCAAATGGTCATTTTCTCACTGCCCTTTTACCATAGGGAAAGAAAGAACCTAGAAGTGTACCTGTGGTACCTTTCATCAATGTTTGCAGTATTGCACTGCAACAGCTGTACAATCTTCACTGCTGGCATACTTACAAATATTTGATTGTTAAAGTAATAATATGTTGCAGCTGGCATAATCTTATAGCTTTCAAAGTAGAAAACTGAGTAAAACAATGTCAGCCAGGTGGATTCATGATTGAATCTATGGAGAACTGTGGCACTGTGCCTATCATGCTATTTTTCATACCACAAGAAAACAAATGGTAAAGATTATCCTAATGTATTAAGTTTTTTAAAAATAAACATTTATTTCAATGTTACATTTTTTCCCAAATTCAAGACCTTCCTAATTAGATTAGAAACACATGTTAAGTTTAGCAGGGGGTGTCTATACAATCAGAATTACCAGACTGTGCCTGTAGTTATGATTCAAATAAAAATGCATTAAGCCAGTGGTGCTGTGACCTGAAAGGGTAGGCATGGTTATTTTTGTTTTTAAAGACTTACCTACAAAGTCTTTTTATAACTGAGAGGGTTTTGTTGTTTTTTTTTTTTCTTTTCATAGTTTAAGTGCAGAATTATCCATAAAAGAGAAAGCATTTTCTATCAAATTTGAATCACACAGATAATGGTTTGTATAGGCCTGGCTAATGTGAAAAATACAGGTCAGGTTTGTCTGATTTTATTTAAATTTAAGTTTACTCATGTTCAATTATATGGTTGATTCTTTTGCAAAATGTAAGTTTGGAATATATTTAAGGAAAAGAGTTGCAGCTCAACCCATGATTTTAGCAAAATAAATAGAAATACAAAATATTTGTACTTGATTATCCATAGTATTTTTTGAAGAAAGATCACAATTATTGAAGCTCCTTAGTTTAATAATTCCATTTTTCACCAATATCTCTTTGTAGAGGTATATTGATAAAGGAAACAGAACATATACATGGACTGCTGTGAATGGCACTGATTACAGGTAACTCATTTCTGTCCACTGATTTCCTTTGTTATTTAAGTGTCCTTTTGGTTAATTTGGGTTAATATTTTTAGCATTACAATTTTTATACTGGATAAGGTGACATTGGTGTGTATATTATTTCTAATTCATTTAAGCACACAACATTGTAGCATTAGAAGGAATGTTGAAACATTCCTTAACATTACCCAAAACAAGGAAAGGTTTTCCAAGTCTTAGGAAAGTTAAACTACTCTAGGTCAAAACTAAGTGGTATAAATATTGAGTCAAATTTTGACCAAATGCTATTTCTGCTATGGTGAATTGCAGTAATCCTCAGACAAGCTGGATTCCAATTTCTGTTGTATCCTGCACAGGTGTACAGTCGCTGAGAATGCAAACATTAATTTGGGTGTAAAACCAAACAAATCCATTTTAACAACAGAACATAAACCTGGATCTTCTATTCACTATCCCATTTTTCTGTTGAACTGCCTCTATAGTCTGTAGGAAAAGGAAGTTTTTATCAGACTGCCATCTAGCAATCACTAGAGAAATACATTAAATTTAAATGACTTCTTAATTCTGCCTGAGCTTCCTGGCATGAGATATAGCAATAAATCCTCAGAGTATCCTTGCAGAAAACTTATTAAACATAAAATTATAGATTTTAATTAGCAATTTCTGCTACCAGTAACTGTTAATGACAGGTACACTGACACTGATTTCCCTAGAGGAGAATTGGTAGAAGGCTATCACTAAATATTCAGCAATCTCACTCATATTCTGTATAAATTGCAAATGTGTCACTAAAGGTCAGCTCATTTATGGGTCAACAGTGCAAGATTTTTAATGTTAATTTCTGCAGCTCTTCATTAGGAACTGTTGCAGTTCTGCATGGATGTAATCCAAGTGTAAAAAATTAAGGATGTTACTTGGGAGTTGATGATACTTATTTAATGATTACTCATCTCTCCTGTCCTTTACATGCATTTTTAGAACTGAACTCTTCTATGTATGTGTAGAATATAGCTGCAAAAATAATTCCTGCATTTTTAACAAAAATAATTTTAATATAAAAGGAAACTTTCCAAATGCTCTGCAAATTTTAAATATTATCATACAATTATGTCCAATAATTATTAGTGGTGACTACATGATTAAAGAAAATAATTTTTTTGGATCCTGAATGCAGTGGATGCTAATGCAAGTATTGCCAGATGCATTTCCTGGAGAGTATTGTTCATTGTTTTATTAGTGAGAGTCTCTGGTTATATGATGTGTGCAAATCAACACAGTCCTAGGTGATATTTTTGCAGTCAGTGATTACCATGACATGTTATATTGGGATGTTAAGTGTGTCAGAGGAAGATACAAAAATCATGTATTTTTTAATTTGTATTTATTTGGAAATTCCTTGTGTATCTGCTAAACAGTGCAGATATATTTGTGTTTATAAGTGTAAATAAGAATGAAAATAAACTCAGGGACAATCAGGATTGGCATAAATATACTTGTGTCTGTTACTGAGTGTGAGGCTGGTATTTCACAGTGTGTGTGCCTCATCTCGAGACAATCCAAATTACAAAATTGTTAATTACTTTCAAAACACAAAGAAGCTGAAACTAGAAAACTGCTGCAAATAACATAATTGCTTTACTTGTCTCATTTCTGTTGCAGTTTGGCACTGGTGTTACCATCATACAGCTTTTATTATATTAAAGCCAAAATAGATGAACCTATAGTTCTAGCCAGATGTAAGTACTGTAAAGATTCCCTGGTTTTGTCTGGTATTGCAAAGTCTCAGATTCATTTAAAAAGCAACGTTTGAAACTCATAAATTTTGTGGAAATCAGTGATGTTACCATGATGTACCCAAAATCTTCAGCAATGATTCTAACCTGTTGTAACCTCTGAGGTGCAAGAAATATTCTATAAAAATAGAATATGTGCAGAACATGTCAGTCCCACTGACAACCCCTACCCCTTGCTCTGTGCCTATAGAATCATTGCTTTTTGTATCCTCTATTGCTGTCATTTTAAGGGTCTGGATAAAATTTTTTAAATTTTTTTATTGTATTAGTAAAATATAGTAATATAGACTGTAAGAGTATACCTTTTCTTTTTTTTTTTGTATTTTAGTTACAGTATAATATTTAGCAAATTATCTCCGCTAGGATGATGTGAAAGCCCTCTTTGGTTTTGGTTGCAGTTAGGTTTTATTTATTTTACAATTAGTTTTAGTGGATGGTTGCATTGTAGTTTTATATTAGACTGATTTCAAACCATTTACAGATTCTGAAGTGATAGCTGAAAATTATACTTGTCAATATTCAAAGGATTTTTTGGTTTTATTTTTTTTTAGGAGTAGCTTAACTGTAGTCTAGGTAGCATGCAAAATAGAACCAATAACAGCCTTTAAATTTTTCTAGATGTTATGATAAATTTAGAAAAAGTATGCAGGTAAATAGAAAGTTTGAAAAACACAAAAAAAACCTCAGAGAGGCACAGATATTGTCAGTTGATTGGTTAGCACTACATCACTCTCTTCTACCGTAGCTCCCACATATGAAGAAGAATGGAGCAACTTTTAGTAATCAGTGGTTTATTTTGTAACTTTTTCTAATATGGAGTACTTAAAATTTTTGGGCAGAGAGTGTGATTCTCTTGATGAATTAGATCATCTGCTTTTGCACTTGTATCAATAAAACCTGCAAAACAGACCCTTGAAATGGCCACAGTGTATAGAAGGTACTGAGAAATAACTAAGAACCTATTCTTCAGTCTTCAGAGATGTTTGTCTTTTTTTTTTCCAGACTACAGCTGTTTGTAAATTGAACCTTTGAATCTATGTGCAATATTTTTATTCAAGGGGCTGTTTGAATAAAATATTGGTTTGTGACCCCTTGTGCTTTACCCTGTTTTTTTCTGTTTCCCTGCTTTCTCTTTCTGATGGATAGTGACAACCAAAAAGGGCAAGTATATTCTTGTTGCTCAATTTCCCTCTGTTTACTGCAGTTGATATTTTTCACTTATATTTCTATTCCTACTGGATATTCTCCTCTGTATTCCTCATCTCAGGACTCTCTTCATGATCATTGGGTACCGTAGCAATAGAAAGGGAAAAATAAAAGTGAAGTATTTTTCTGTTTTCATGCACATTTTAATATGTTGCTAATCTCTAATCCTTCTTTGTCTGGTCCCATCAGTGTTCAATGATATCATCTATTAAAGCCATTTTTAGTAGGATTTACAGTGATGCTACAACGATTGAGAGTTTTACACGTTATTGCAGAAAATATTAGCAGTATTTTTCTTCATGTTCTAAAAACTCAGCGTCATTTATTTGTATCAGAGTTTGCTTCTAGGGACAATGTTTCATTTTTTTTATATTTGTTTGATATTTGAAAATATCTCATGTTGCTATGCTAATTAAATGTCTTAAATAAATTGTTAGATATGATCTTACTGTTTCCAGTTGTACATTGTATATAATAATCAAGTAATTTCTTCTATGTTGTGAAATACTGAGAAGCCTAGAATTCATTAGAGAGAAAGTGTCTAAAAGATTTCTTTCTAAATTCATGGATGCATGCAGAAGTCAGCCAAATAGTTTGATAAGAGAAACAATGGCAAAAATTCCAGTTTACTTACTTGGTGTTTACTTTTCATGTTTTTAGTTACAGAAACACTGAAGCCTGAGGATTTTGATCAATCTGGCTATACATTTTTAGCACCCAGGTTGGTGGATTTCCCAGTAATCTGATCTGATTATTAGCACATGGAGAATACTGATTTGAGCAATAAAGCTTCATTTGGTAAAAAATTATCAATCTTTTTTCATGCTGGAATGTAAATAGCATCTTCAGGCTCTGATTTCTGCTGATATTAGTCAGAGAACTGCAAAAACTGATATTGATATTTTAATGGAAAACTTATTCACATCTGGGCATTTCTTGTGGTTCTGACTTCTAAGATTTTACAACTATTTTTAAAAGAGGTTTCATAATGCTGACCACAGCATATTTCCCAACTTCAAGACAAAGGGTTTCAAATCTCTTTATTATTTAAATATTAGGTAATTTTCAATTAATTGAACATAAAAACTATTAAGTCATTGAAAATTTATTAAATTCATTAGTTTCCTGAGATTTTGATTTTTTCATGTGAAATTCTGCAGTTCTTATTTCCCTCTTAAGATTTTGTTTGCAAGGAAAACCTGATATGATAAAGACTTCCTAAAAATTGAGTTCCTCTAAAAGATAGTTATGATAAAGAAAGAAAATTGTGTACAGTCAAGATAATTGAGAATTGTTGCATTCTTTTTTATTTGACAAATTTCTGTACACTTTTAAATTCCAATTAATAGATCGATTTCAATTAATAGATTGATATATGTAAAGTCTTCTGTCTTAAGATGTATCCTAATTTAACTCTTTAATTTAATTTTTCTGAAAGACTGAATTTATTGGGAATTAATTGCACCAATTAGAGCTTCCAGCAAGTCCCTACTGTCCTACAGAACAAAGTCTATTTGATATGTAGCTCTGCTGAAATGTGAATATTGGTATAGTAAGGTAAATTCTGCCTGTGGTATCTCTGACTTATGGTAAGGTAAATAAAGGTTAAAAAGATATCTTGGTCATATGGAATACTTGAACACACTTCTTTTGTGTGTAAAATTAAATTCATATAAGAGCTCACTTTAAAAAGAGAGCCCCCTGCTTTACTGCTAAACACTCTTTACATTTTAATTAAAAGTTGTTTAATGCCATTCATCATATAATATTTGTCTCCAAAATGCCCAGTGACTTCTGCATTGCTTGCCTGCATTCAGTGAATTGCCCAATGATATATTGCTTTATTTCATTATACCAGGGACAGGAGTTTACTCTTTGTCTGCTTTGCATATGTCAAAACAAAGAGTGTTTATATATTCGTGTGGTTTGCACCCTAATAAAATTGCATTTAAAACTTCTCAGAGGATAGGGCCTTAACCTGTAAATGTGGCCTGAGTTGAGCATGGGTGTCTGTGTTTCACCAGGTTCTTTCCAGTACAGGTTAATCCAGAAGCAATTTAAATTCACTGGGCATATTTTTAGTGTACAGTCAATGATGTCCTAATATGTCCTACCCCACTCCTCAGGGTTTTTTTTCTGGGAATCTATTCCCTATTTCATGCATATAGTTTTCTTACAATCCAAATCTTGACAAATGCTTAGGCAATTGTTTGAACACTTTATTTTCTGTACATGTCTGAATGATTGATATGGTAATCAATAAATACTGATCATGGCAGCCAATTGACACAGCAATACCAGCTACTTCATAATAGTTGTGCAAGCCTGCTTGGACTTTTAAATTTTCTGCTTTAGTAGCACAAGAAAAAAAATACGAGAAAACTGATGTTTTGTTGTTTTTCAGAGAATACTGTAATGATGTAAAAAAATCAGAAAACAACACTGAATTCCTATTAAATTTCAATGAATTCATTGACAGAAATACTCCAACCAGTTCATCATGTAAGTACACTTCTCACCTCACTGAAATATTTCCTTAGGAAAATACCTACCTGTGGATGAGAGTTCATGCTCAAATTTTATGAGTTTGTTTTTTTCAGAAATTATCTAGTGCTGGGATTTTCTATTCAAGGTAGAGAGTGTAAAATTAGTTTTCAAGTTCTGGCATTATTTAAGGAAGTTTTTAGGGCATTATGCATCCTGAGTTTTCCATAATTCCTCTCAGCATCTTGCTGAAGTATCAAATAATACTGGCTCATTTAAATACACCCCAAATGTTTTTGAGTTTGTATTTTCTTGCTTGAGCATAGCAGCCAAAGTCTCAAACAGACTCAAAATCTTGTAATGAAATCTTCAACCTGCTTTCTTGTCATTTTATTCCAAAAAAAGTTAAAGAAAATAAGTCCAAGACTGAAATACCCATTAACCAGAATAAAAGATAAAGAAGTTATTTTGCTGGTTCACAAATTGGTTAAAGAGATCTCACTTGGACTTGAATAGCTGAAGACCACAAATCCATGTGACTGCTGCAGTGGTGAGCACTGGCCTTTGGGAAGGGAGTAATTCATATTTTGAGATGAATTAACCTCTGTTAGAATAAATCTTAACCTCTGTTTAGAATAAATGAAGAGCTATTACCATCAGTAGGGTGCTAATGCCTTGTTCTCCAGAAAATATCAGTGTTTGAATTTAGTTTGGTACATATGCGTCTGTTTATCACTATTATTAATTTATAAATATTTGGAATAGCATTTTTTTTTTGTTTTGTTTTCCTGAAGTCTTTCTGACATGTTGTTGTCAGGGAAAACTGGTCAAATCAGAAAGAATCTCTATTCTAGACTATGTAACTGAAGGAATGTCCACTTACATATGATATCTTCTCACAAAAGGATATTTTTGTGTGCTTGTATGGGTGTTTGGTGTTGTTTTAATAGAATTATCTTATTCATTGACACATTGCTGACTGACTGAAATTTTATTTGAATACCTTGACTGAGTCTTGGAAACAAAAACATTCACCTTCAGTCTTGGAAATGAAAACATTTACCTCCAGTAATTAAAACTATTAATGATAATTTCATAAAATTTAACAAGAAATGAAAATCCTTTTGTAATATTTTAGCAAATATTGAGGACAATTTTTAGTGATTTTATAGTATACAGTCGTGCTTAGTAAGTAATTATTCCAAAATTTTATTCACTTATTGCTGTATTTCAGTTTGGAATATGCAGCAATTTTTTTTCCTTCTTTTTTTTTCCTAATAATTAGGTTACTTTAAAAATAGTCTCCTTAATAAATAAACAGTGTTCACAGAGTTAAAGGACTGAGTGGCCATAGAAATTATCTCAGCTAAAAATGCTCTTCAAAAGAAATAACAAATAAAATTCCCACATTGAAATAATCTTCAGTAACTCTGCTAAAGTGTTACTGAAAAAGATGTTTGAGAAGCACTGACTTCAAACCATCCTTTAAAAGAAATTTAAGCATGGCATCTCTGTATAAGCTACTGATTCAAAATGAGTTTATTTCCCTATATCCATTTTGAGATGACAAATGTGTTTTAATTGAAAGCCTGGGACTTAATTGATCTAAATATATTTAAAATGTAGTTGAATGTCATTAGAAATTGTTGTTTCCTTGCATCAACTGAGATAAAAAGTGTTTTAATGAACACATGCTTTAAAAATAGGTTAATCTGCAGTTTTAGGGGCTTTACTAAGCTGTGGCCCTTATCACCTTCCTTATTCCTGAAACACAAAGAAACATTTTTAGGATACAAAGAAAATGTTTAACTGAACTCAACAGTGTGAGAGCATCTATCCAACTCTAATTACCTGGCATCATTTGAAGTTAGGCAGAATGTCAACTATTAACAGCCACTATTAACATTCAAGCAGAATCTTGATAACTCAGAATTTTGATTTAGGCTTTTATTGAAACTCCATCTCATATGGTTTCAGATGACTTACATTTTCACTCTTTTGATAGGTAATACTGACATGGTCATTAGAGTTTTGCTGGATGCAGGATTTACAAATGAACTTGTCCAAAATTATTGGAGTAAACTGTCGCTGTAAGTATTCTTTTTATTGACTATGGGTTTTTTTATGCATTTCAGAGTTTGGAAACAAAATCTTATACATCTGTGTGAATATACAGATATGCAGGTAGTGTTACAGAGAACAGGTATTTATTCACAGTTATGCACTTTAATGGCAACCCTTGACATAGAAGTTTATGAGAATTCCAGTCAGTTTTCATTTTAAATCTTATTTTTATTTACAGAGATGGAGTTGTTGCACAATTTGTTGTTACAGATGGTGGAATTACTAGAGTGTTCCCCAAAAGGTAAGAATTATTACAAAATAGTATAATGTGATATTTTAAAGCCTGAAAGGCTGGATTGTTAAAGAGTGGCTTTATTGAACAAAAAGCTACAGTCTCCTAGGGTCTAATTTGTACTCATAGCTATGAAATTAATGGAATGCTTTGTTTTTCTTTTATTTTACCTGTGTCACTGCTTGAATTTAATCTGTCCCATTATTTTCATGACAGGCCCTTGTAATCCAAGTTTCTAATCAGGGTAGAGTAGCAGTAACAGCAATGCCTTTGTAGCAGCAGTGGGGCCACGCTAATTCCTATTTACCCCCAAGCACTCAGTTGTTTGGCAGGCTGCAAATACTGGAAAGTAGTGGGTGATACTTTATTTTTTTTTAGACTGAGATCAGACCTAAAGGTCCAGGGACTTCAAGAGAGAAAAAATGTATCATTAACAGAGGACAAAAAGGAAATGTGAAATTAGATATGCAATAAACTAGACACAATCCCCACGAGTGACTGGGAATAGTGAGGGCACCAGTACAGATCAACTGGTAAATGGCAGATTTATCTATTTCCTTAGGTTGTTTTGTGTTTCCCCAAAGTGTGAAAATAGCAATGAGTTTTACCTCCCAAGTGAGTTTGTTTCCTATTTTGGGATTATTCACTATATTAAATCTTTTAGGATTAAGCTGAAAGTAGGCGTGTGCTGTAAAGGTTCCTTTAGATTTTGTTGTAAGTAGTGTCGCAGTTGTATTTGTCACAACAAATCTAAAAGTGATGAGACTAAATTATTGGTTTTTAAAGAATACTAATTCCTTTTTTTTCTCCAAAATTTGTTTGTTTTGGGTTTTCCTAATGATTACACCTGTCTTTTAACCAGTGAAAACTGATAGATCCTGAGGACTACAAATCTCACACTTTCCAACTGTGAAACATTGAAAGAAAACAACCTACAGAACAGATTTAATGAGACTCTAAATTGTGGTTTTTTTATTTTTTTTTTTTTTTAATTTAGGGCAGGAGAAGACTGGTTGGAAAATGCTGAAACTTATGAAGTCAGCTTCTATAAGAGGAGTTTAGATAATGACAACTATATTTTCACAGCTCCATACTACAACAGTAAGTCATCACAGTTTAGAAATGTCAGAGTTAGCTAGTGCAGTACAAGTGGAAGTTCCCCATACCAGATGAGGTCACTGACAAAAGATTCAAGCGTGACACTTCACAAGGAAGGAAGTCTTGGGATAATTTCCATTATTAAGGAGAAGCTAGGAGGCACCAAACAAGGTCATCATAATTTGTCAACTACTCTGGTGGCCCTGTGTGCTCAGAATTACCCTAAGTGAAAACATAGAGTGCACTGGTGTTCATTCAGTGTATTGAAACACTTCTTTACAGTGATGCTTTGGCAGAACTATTTTAACAGAAAGAGAAATAAAATTGCACTCATAGACAGAAACTCTACCTAAAGTCCTAATAGAGCTGAGTTCTGTATATTGTCTCAGCACCCCCAGCACTGACTTGGGGGACCAGGCATGAGGGTCCAGAGCCCATAACTCCATCCACTGCACCACTACCTAGTTTAAACTGTGCTTTTGAATTCTATTTAGAATTGCCCATATTCACCAAAACCAGTTGGTCTGAGATATTGTCACATTTAAAACCGACATAAGCACAATAGCAAATGCTCCTTATTGATGTGAGCAACATTAACCTTCTCAAGTTTGTAAAAAAACAAATGTTTGTCAAAAAATAGATGTCAAAAAATAGACCACAAATCACTTACTCCTCTCTTAAACATATGGAATCCTTCATTGCTTTATTTCGTAATTATTTATTGCAATATTTTCTCAGTAAAATGTAAAGATGTTAATTAATAAAATTCCCTGGAGCCTTTGCTGCTCCTCAAACAGCTCCAGGGAATCTACTTTTAACTTGCTTTTTCAAATTAAGCAGTGTTGAAAACAGTTTCAAGTCAGTCAGAGCAGAAATTGTACATTAGTGAGTGGTGTCAGTATGCTCTGCATTGAAAAATACACAGACAACATCAGGATAAAATCTTTGGTTCTGATCCTGGTTTTAACAGAGCTGCTCACATGTGCACAAGTATTCACGGTTCTGTTTGCAGAAGAAAAGGCTATATAGTAACTTTATGAAGCAGTAAAAAAAGAACTAAAAGAAGAAAAGGAAATACAAATATTTCTTAGTCATGCCAGTGTTCGTGATTTAAGCTGTTACAGGTGATAAATTCACCTGGGTCAGTGCTTTTGGAAAAGGATTTTTTAAAATCAGCCTGGTATTTGAATAATAATATATTTTTCAGAGGAAGAGGCTTTCATGTCACCCTAACTTCTTTTTCTGTTTGTTCTTTTTTTTCTCTCTTCTGTACTGTCAGAAAGTGGTGCCAATAGCTATGAATCAGGTATAATGGTAAGCAAGGCTGTGGAAATACAAGTTGATGGGAAACTTCTGAAGCCAGCAGGTAAGATAGAGTGGTACTGAAACTTGAAATACTTTATTTGGTTGTTGCTCAACAGCAAATTGGAAATTTAATTGAGATTTCAAAGCAATTTCACTCTATAATAACATTATTTTCTCTGAGACAGTTTTAATCTTTCTAGTGGAAATCTGTTTGCATTTGAGTAAGAGTGTTAAATTTATTAGTCTCATGAATGATGTTGGTGATCAGGCAACAAAAATCGTAATTTATCCTTCTCCAGTTCAGTGATTTAGCTGTCTTTATAATTTCCCCTCCCTGTTTTTAGGATTATACAGTTACCTTTTTTTCCCTTCATTTTACTCAAAAAAACTTTCATGTATTTCTTGTTAGTTGTTGGAATAAAAATTGATGCAACCAGCTGGATGGACAATTTCACAAAAACCACAATCAAGAGCCTGGTAAGCAATTGACCAAGTCTTTTTTGAACTTTATTTGCATTTCTCAAAGTTTCAGATGCAAATAGGTTTACTGTCTCTTTGTGCCAGAGTCACACAGATGCATAGTTGCCAAGTTGTTGTGGTATTTAAATCATCCAAATGCACAAAATAAATCTATGTTGAAATAGGCCATATTTTGTTCGTGTCTTGCTTTCATAATTATAAGACATGGATAGGGACAAAGAAAAATGACATATTCTAGCTAGTAGTAAGACTCTGCAGTAACAGTGAATAAAATCTGCAAACCAATTGGTGAATCTTTTCTTGTTTAATATCCAGGATGGGTAAGCAGTGAACAGTAAGGGTTTATATTGCATCCAACATCACAGCATTTTAGCAGAACTTAATGAAATATGTGCTTAAATATTTCATTCCATGCATCTGATGTGTAATGCATCTGAGGTTTAAATGGGAAGGAGGAAATGTTAAATGAAAAGAAAATATGGAATTGATAGTGAACTGTGGAAGGAAAGGCACAAAATGAAGAAACTTCAAGAAATCTCCTTCTTACTGGGTGTGACAATGTTGCTTGTATGTTCAGGGACTCAAAAAAAGAGTTTGGCTGGTTGGATATTGGAGCTGTCGTTCAATGGGGAGGAAAATGCATTGCCTAAGAGTCAGAACAGCTGGGGACAAAAATGCACAAGTGAAAGATGGAAAGTAGGATGAATATTTCAGAAAGAACACTGATGACTGCAGCATCACCTGGGAGTTGTTTTGCTGAGGACACAATGCAAGGACACAGTTGTGTGTGGATGTGTATCCATACTGCAAGAACATGAAAAAAACATGTCAGGAATCAAAGCCATAAAAGCCAGCTGGGTTGATGGGCTTCCTTTACCACACAGGATTCCCATGCTTTGAAGCTTTTCATGGTCAAAAAAGATACTTTTGAAGGCTTTCCTTCCAAACTCCAAACACATGGGAATGCTCCTATTCTTTCTGGTTTGCTTTATGCTCACATCACTGACATCCTGACAAGTACTCCAAACTATTTATGTATATTGAGCATACTGTTAAAGGGTATCAGAGTCTTTGAGAAAGGCAATCAAGATTGTGCTATTGATAATTACAGAATACAGGTTGTTAAGAGAGATATTTCTGATAGATGAAACATACTCAAAATTGAAGTCTATATACAGATATTGAAAATATAATAATTTTTTCTTGAATGATTAATATAACTTCAAAATACAGGTTTTTTTCGTAACATTTTTATGAAGATTACCATACTTCTGTTTTTTAGTGCAACAGTGAAATCTGTGGCTGTGAAAGAAATAGCATGGTAAGAAAATGTTCAGTTTATGAATTTCTGACAGAGTATTGAAATTCACTCCTTCCCTCTAGATCTATGTAAGACAGATCCTATCATTACTATTTGAGTGTTAATTTCACAGAAAACAGTGTTTAGTTGTTTGTGTCTTGAGAAAGATTAAGGCCAGGAGGGGAAGGGGGAAAGAGGGCATAAAATCAGGTGAGATGGTGATGCAGTTATGAGAACAAGTGTAAAGAAGAATATACAAGAAAAGCAAAAGAGAATTATGTGAAAAAAGTGATAAAAATATAACAGTAGTTTGCAAAACAAGAGACAAATCCTGAAGAAAAAAATAATAATTTTTAAAATTCTAAAAAAAAAGAGTAACTCAGAGAAGGGCAAGTGCAAACTTAGAAGCACTCAAGTCCATAATGTGCCTTTCCAGTTGCTGGTTCCCAGCACATTCAGGATCAGGGGACCCCATAGCTCTGCTGGCACTCAGATCCAGGGTCTGTCACCATATCAGGTTCTGCCATGTGCTTAAAAGCTTTTCTGTGCTCAGGTCTTCTGAGCTCTTTCAAGGAATGTGAAGATCATTAAATGCAAGAATTAGAGCAGAAAGGGTACTGTGGGGAGTTTTCTATTTGACCTCACTGCTATCTCTCCAATCTCTGGCTGCAAGATCTTTTACAAAGTGCAAAGCATATGGATGGAATCAGTGGGTTTCCCATTCCTGCACCTGACACCTGGAATAATCCCACTACAGTCCTTGACAAGTGAAAATAATCACACCTAGCAAGCTGGGAGCCTGCCCTTAAGATTTTTACCATTGAAATCTGCAAATGGAAAATTACTTTAACATGGCTGAAGCACATGAGAAGTTGTAGCCCATTATTATGAACTGAGTTCCAGTTATAATCAGATTTAATAAGGATATAGCACTCTTGGAACTAACAAAGTATTGAGCAAATAAGAATTTGCAAAACAACTTTTATGAAATTAAGCCACAAATAAGCCTTTGATCTGTTCAAACTTTTATTATACTGATAATGCTAATTATTATAACTTAAAATTGGCCCTTGGCTATTGGTTTGTGATTTGAAGATACTCTGATGTCTTGGAAAAAAAAAATAAATTAAAAGTTGCTTCTTACAGAGTGTTCTATTGACAAATCTTTCCTGTAAACATATTTCACTTTCTTACAATAGCATGTGGACTGTGTTATCCTTGATGATGGTGGATTTCTTTTGATGTCCAATCGAGATGAATATACACAACAGGTATGTATATTCTTTAAGAGCTGAACATGAAAACCAATAGGAAGAAGTTCAAAGAGAGAAAGAAAAAAAAGCATTTAACTCTCAACTTACTCTAAAGATTTTAAAGATTTCTGAATCACAAAAATATTGCTGGATCAGAAGTTCTAGGGGGGTTGTTGGTGTTTTTTACAGTTCTCTTTATAGATGAAGACACCAAACTTGCTACCAAGTTTCATTCTTTGTGCTTTGCCATTGGGCTTGTAGACTGCCAATGGACTTAAGATGGTGAGGACAAATAATATGTTATCCATACACCTTCTTTCTCATATTCTTCTTGCTCTTCCCCAGGCAAGGTCTCATTGATACTGCATTTTACAGTCACTGTCTAACTGAGGAATTTAGAACTGTGCACTTTGTTAGGAGAAAAATATTTGGAAGTGTTTTACCTTATCTCTCTGTATTTCCCCCCATCAGATTGGAAGGTTCTTTGGTGAAATTGATCCTGGCCTGATGAGAAACCTGATTAACATGTCCCTGTATGCCTTTAACAAGTCTTATGACTATCAGTCAGTCTGTGATCCTGAAGAAGAACCAAAGCAAGGAGCTGGACTTCGTTCTGCTTATGTGGTCAGTAGTCCCGTGTGCAGTGGCTGACAATCCATTGAAAGTCTGCACTTGTTTACATAAATAAAATAACCTGGTTTATTTGCCTTTTTTTTTTTCCCAGCCTACAATAACAGATATTTTGCAGCTTGGATGGTGGGCTTCAGCAGCAGCCTGGTAAGTATGAAATCTCTGTATACAAACTCTAATTATTCAGTGGGTTGAAACTTTATTTGACTTGAATTTTTTCCTCCATAAAAGTTCTCTGGACCCTTTGTTTCTGCAGTTTCTCATAATGAAAATTCTTAGCTATGTCTCAAACATGACTGTTTTGTCAACAGTTCAATTAAGAACTGCTCTTGACAGGTTTTGTGATTGTATTCTAACTACAAAATCAGCTTCAGGAAGCAGAGTTTGGATTAATGGCCTAAGTATGATGAGCAGTTGTGAAGTCTAAATTATCATGTTTTGAATTATTGATCACTTGGTTCCCTCTTTCAGAATATCATCTCTGCCTTTTTCCAGCAAGAAGTCCTAAGAACATCAATGGTTGCTTTTCAGTGAATCATTTTACAAAACACATGAATCATAGAATCATTTGGGTTAGAAGGGATATTCAAAGGTCATCCAGTCCACTTCCCCTACAGTGAGCAGGCACATCCTCAACTAGATCAGGTTTCTCAGAGCCCCATCCCACCTGACCTTGAATGTTCCCAGAGATGAGACATCTCCACCCCTATGTGCAGCCTGTGCCAGTGTTTCACCATCCTCATTGTAAGAAATACCTTCCTTGCACCTAGTCTGCATCTTCCCTCTTTTAGTTTAAACCATCACCCCTTGTCCTACTGGGAGAGGTCCTGCTGTATTTTGTCTTCATCTTTCTTAGAAACCCCCTTTAAGTACTGAAAGGCCACAAGAAGGCTCTCCTGGGAGCCTCCTATTATTCAGAGTGAACCTCAATTCTCTCAGCCTTTCCTTATGACAAAAGTATCCCATCCTCTGATCATTTCTGTGGCCTTTGTCTGCAGCCACTTACAGGCCCATGTTTTTCTCTGCTGAGGAGACTGCAGAGCTGGCACAGGGCTCAGGTGGGGTATTTTACCTTTTTCAGAGCCATGTTGATTGACACTCAGAGCAGCTACTTCCCTCAGCACCTTCCTTATGGGGATAAGGAATTGGCATGGATGTGGTGCCTTTGCTGTGGTGGGAATTGCACCCTTGGAGACTGGTCCTTCTTCTAAATACTCATGATACTTTTTTTTCCTAATAATAACTACCAAACTGGAATAAATTACCTCCTTTACAAAGCTAAGTGTTAAAACATGTAGCAGCCGAAAAACTGTATAATAATTTTCTCACAGAAGCACTATGAAGACAGTATGTTGCTTTTTATTGTTGGTTACGTTTAGTGAAGAGGAAGAGAAATAGTCTTGGTTTTCTTGCTTCAAAAATTTGAGATGGGCAATAATCCAGAAGAGAAATTTGAGTTCTTTTCAAACAGAGAAACTTCAGTTTATCAGTGTTCAAATCAGACTCAGCGGTCTGGTCTGAATTTAGACCTGAGGTTTATTTTGTGTGATGTTTAACTTGAAAGCACAGCATTAAAGTACTTTACTATGGCCATGTTTTTAATGGAATCTAGGTCAGAAGCAGGCTTAGAAGGCCATTAAGCAAGCAAAGTGAAAAGAGATGACCAAAAAATGGATTCGGTGAGGCACCTGGCAAAAGCAAGTACAGGGAAATAAGAGAAACCAGGTTATTAAAGAAAGCTATAGTGTTTCAGGCAAAAAATGTGGGATAAAGGTGTGAGCTATCATTTTCAAAATCTATATGGGATACATCAGCGTTTGGTTAAGAGCGTGCGTGTCATTTCTCCTTCATGCTCCTTTAAGTCAGGAGATTTAGGAGTTTTCCCAGGCTGCCTTTTTTGTTCAGTTCCCTGTAAACTCTGAGGTAAGCCATTACAAAAGATTACTGTTTTCTGTCAGCAAATTGCATTAATATTGAATAGAATTGGGTCTCTTCTGATCCATAACTGCCCTGTGCTGTCCCTCTGATGATTCAAAGCACGGAGTCGTGGATGTGAATCCAGAACTCCTTCGGGGAATGCCACCATGGGGAAGGTGACAGGCATGTTCAGCTTCTTTACACAGGAATCACACTAGAAAAGGAGAAAAAACTTTTAGGTTGAATGAAGTTATACAGTCCCTTCTCTCTGCAGAGCAAGTGTTAGAACAGAATGAGATGAGACTGGGTCATGTTTGTGGGTAGAAGCAAGCCTAAAACTTGACAACTGGAAAATACAATTAGGAAGGTTAAGAGAAGCAGGGCGTCAGAGAATATTCCTGTTGCACTTCCTGTTTTGACAGGCTGGTGGAGGAGAAAAGGTCTGTGTGTGTGGCAAGCTGGTACCTACTTTAAGCAAATAAAATTGGAAAAAACGCCATCATCAGTGAAGAAAAAAGAATCAATAAATAGAGCTCTTTAAGCCTATTTCAGCGGCATATATAGGAAGAAAATGTAGTCCATAGATCAAGAGCGAGAATAGAGATGATTTTAAAAGTCAACTGTTACAGTAGTGCTTTTTAAAATATAGTATTCCAGTGTTGATATCCTTCTCAGAGATTGAATGAACCTTAGTGAGTGTAAAGTATCTAATTCGGGAGCATGTTCCCTGAGTGTGTTAGAAAGGAGTTCCAGTTGGCTTAAGTTGCAGAGAAACACCAACATGCCTCTTCCACCTCCAACAGAGGTGTAAAAGTGGGGCAGGGATGGTGTGATAACATTTCCCGTATGTGACTTGTGGGCACACATTACAGCAAATCTGAACAGTAGAATAAAAGATTAGTGTGAAAGACCTGTGAAAATGTGGGAAAAGAAAACCAGAGTCATGCTGGAAGGTTTAAAGAAATACAGCTTTGATAACTGGCAAAAGCATTAAAAAATATTGGTAATAACTTATGTTTCAGTAGTTTTTTAGTATGCATTAAAATGCAAAGAAGAAAAAGAACCTTTGAAAATAAATCTGTTGTCTTTCTGTGTTCAGGTCTATCTTACAGCAGCTGTTTTTGAGCTTGACTTTTCCACGGTTCCTTGAAGCAGGTAAGTCAAAAGAATGTTAAAGAGTCAACTTTGAGTAAAGTAGAAGGTAAGAATCTGGGTCAGGGGACATATTTGGGTCTCCCCATTGTGTCTGTGATTTAAAAATGTAATTTCTTTGTTTATCTATTTATTTATTTATTTGTTTATTTATTTTATATCAGCTGATATGGAAGATGATGATTTCGGTGCTGCCCTGCCTAAAACAAGCTGTATCACCGAGCAAACTCAATATTTCTTTGAAAACAATGATAAATCCTTTGGTGGGATTGTAGACTGTATAAACTGCTCCAGGTAAAATTTCTTCAATATAAGTAATTACTTCGGGATTTTATTTATTTTGCAAAATATAGGGACACTATTATAACAAGCAAAGATATATTTTGGATAAACTTCACCAAACTCACATAAGCAGGACAGAGAAGAATAGAAGCAGGAAAATTGCATTCTCTTTATTTGTTTAGAATTAATTTTAATTTTAATCATTAAAGAATTATAGAAATGCTTTAGTAAGTTTTTGTTTTATAGCCTCTGCTCCATGGAAATTGTATTTTTATCTCTGTCCCAATTTGTTTTCTTTTAATTTATTATGTCAACTTAAAAGCATTCTGCAGCATCCCAAGGGATATGATCTTCTCTAATCTGGTTATGTATCAGAATTTTTGACAGTCAAGAAGATTATACAATTTATCTTCTAATTTATCTTCTAGTTAATAATGCTTATGATTTAAGAGCCATGAGTCTTATAAAGCAAACGAAGGTATTCTATCTTTTTATTAAAAGAATTATTCTCCAGACACCATAAGGAGGCCTCTTGAAGATGATATTCAATAATAAGTGAAAAAAATTTATACTACAGAAACATAGCATCTTAGACCTAGATTTCTGTTTCATAAAAGAGCCTGCTACGGTGTTGCATACATTTTGAGCTTCTGAAAGCATTTTAGAAATTAGAATTAATAGCCAGATTTCAAACAAACAAAAAAAAAAAAGACAGTATTTCAAGCCAGAAAAGAAAGAGAGCGAGCTTTGGAGAATGGTCAAAACACACAGACATTTTTTCAACCTCTGTACTTCCTCCTCCATGTTTCTAGTATGCATTGGGTTTATTTATAAACTGAAAACGACCCTACTATCTTAAATACCTTTTGCAGAATTATTTGGACATAAAAATACAAGAAATTCACATCCAATACATGACATGCATACTCCATGCTTCTCTCTTGACCTCCTTACAGACAGGTTTATGTTTTGGGGTTTTGTTTGTTTGTTTTTGTGGTTGGGTTTGGGGGTTTTTTTTGTGTTAATTGATGCTGAACTGATGTTATTTCTCAGTACAGCTACTGTGGTAGCAGTACAGAGCTAACTATTAACTCAAGTCATTTTATGCTCTTTTCCATTTTTTTTCACTAACAAGTCTAGTTGAAAAAGGGTACGATGGAAATGTCAAAAAGATTACAAAATTTATTATAAATCTTTCTTACTGTTTGTTAATAAAAAAGATACACAGTAGCAAGAAGACTAAATCTGTGAAGCTGGATTATTTTATTCCAATACTGTGTGTCCTTCTCAAATATGATTTTCCTTACTTCATTTAAACATAGGTTTTTGTTGACTTTTTTCCCAGACTTTATCATGCAGAGAAGATTTCAAACACCAATCTAGTGTTCATTATTAGTGACAGCCAACTGCTGTGCCGTTCCTGTGACCCAAAGCCACTGATGCAAGCGGAGAAGCCGGGTATCCTTTAAAAACCATGTTATTTAGTAGTGTGGATTGATTTTTGGCCATGGGATACTGGAATCTATTGGGGGAGAAATGAATCACTTATCTACGTTATTACCATGGTTGCCACTGGAATACTTGAAGTAGCAGGTATTTGTGGGTGATATCACAAATCATGTGAGGCAGCAGTCATTGAGGTAGAGAGCAAAGCTGTTATTTGTGAGAATTTACACAGAAATGGCTCACAGGAACTTAATGAAGTTTCAAAAAAGCAGATACAGAATCTTGGGCCCAGGACAGATTAATTGCCCAGCTGGACAGGCTAGGAACAGAGTGACAGGAAGATTTGCAGAAAAAAGCTGGAGGTTCATGGTGGGCAAGAAGTTGACAGTGAGTTGGCACTGTGCCTCGCAGAGAAGTGGGCTGGTCACATCCCAGGCTATGACAGCAAGAGTGCAGTCAGCAGACTGGGAGAACTGATCCATCCCAACTCTTCAGCACTGGTGAGACCACATCTGGAGTTCTGTGTGCTCCCCAGTCTCAGAAATTTAAAGAACCTTAATCAGTGTAAAGTATTACACTGCCATATTGGAGGGAGTCTAGGGTAGTGTCACCAAGGAGGTTGGCATCTGAGAGCGCAAGCAGGGAAAGTCTGATTGTCCTGGGTTTGTTCAACCTGAAGAAAAGACCAGGGTATGTCTGTCTAGAGAAATAACAAAAAAAAAAAAGCCAGATAGGAGTGTTTGACCATGAAAAGTTGAGGTGCTGCATGTTGGTTGATTGATGAAGGCATTTTGTTGTATGCCAGTGTCAAAGACGAGCTTACTTCTAGTGGTAATTGCCTCAGCCATCAAAGGCTAGAGTTCATCCAGCTGTACAGAATTTTTTCAGAGCTGGCTGGAGACACAGGTGGCTTACATGCTAGGCAGAGTTCTTGCAACACAAGCATTGAAATTTAAAGCATGTGAAAGACTGTTTTAATTCACAACCACCTTTGTGCCAATCTCTCTGCTTTAGCTGTTCATTGCAGTAGATAACTGCAGGTGATGGTAATGGAAATACATAAAACCAATTCTAGGTCAGGAAAAATTCACCTCAGCCATTCTCTTCTACGTAGGCTTGAGGATAGCATGCCAGAAGTGGTAAATCAAACCATAATTTGGATTACTGTGACAGAACAAGGAAAACAATTAGTAATACCTCCGTCCACGTCAGGAAGTTAGTTGAGAGAGCCTCTCCCACTCCTGAAAGAAAAGCAGATGGTGGTACAGATGACTGTGTTTCTTTGGCACAAGCAATGCATTCATTGCCACATTAATAAAACTGGAATTCCATCCACGCTTGGGCTGAAAAGGAAGTTACATTGGGGTGTCATCACAGAGCTATGTAAACTTAGCCTAATATTCTAATTGGCTTCAGTCCATGACAGTTTGATCAACTGTTTCCATCGTCTGAATTTATGGACAGCACTCACTATAGAAAATGAAGCATGATGGATGGGAAGGGGCACATGACTTGCATTTCCCTCTGGAGCCCAAAACTACTAGAAAGAAGTAAATTACCTAAAATGGCAGTCAGAACAGCTGGGAGGGCTTATATTGACTAAAGGAACTCTTTTATTTTTGTTCAACTATGCAGTACTAAGCTATTCAACTCTTTTCTGTAACTAAGGTACATAGTGAAATGCAGATGTAGCATAACATCACCCAAGCAGACAAAATGACCTTTGGGTGCTATTTAGATGATTATTACTACACTTTGCTTCCTTTTGGCTGGTGCAGCTTTGCTTATGCAGCCTCCTGGAACATTTTTGTGTTTCAACTTTCCTTTCAGTTGAGCCACAGCTGAGAAAAGGGGAGATGAGTCTGACAATGTCTGAATGAAGGCAGATGCAGACTACAGAAATAAATTCCCATCATCTTGCCTTCTCTTTGCTTTGGCCTCTCCACTTGTTGCACTGAAGCTGCTATACTACTCCATGGTAGTGCATGAACAGGATTGCTTCAAGTGTAAATTAGAACTACTAAGATATGTTCTGGCACTCTATTCTTTTAATAGATTTATTATGTGTACCATCTCAAGTGGAACAAAAAGAAAGCTTAGCATACTGAATGGTAATATAAGCAGCTTTCACCAGAAGGCTGTTTTGCAGTTTGCCATATCCATGCCTTTCAAGTCTGCTGCAATGACTTGTGCCCCTCATTAGCCAGTGGCACATGTGAAGTGCAGTGTGAAGAACACTTTAACACCAGCAATTACAGATTTCAGAGATGTGAGCTAAAGCAGTACCTCATGTATTCAGTTGGCTAATTAATAGCATGTCACTGCTCCCCTTTCCTGCTGTTCTGCTGGTAGTATGGACAGCATTTTCTCTGTCTGCCTTCATCACTGAAATGCTAATGGGATCTCAGTAGTTCTCCTGTCATTCACTACAAAGCCTACAGTGGCTCAGTCTTTTCTATGATATTTGGGGTAATATATAAGTGTACCCATAATAGAACCAGTAGTTTTTGTAGGCTTTCACTGCTATGTTCCACCTGTAAATGACATTACTTTTCCAAAAAAGTTTCATTGCTTTTACTGTGTATCTTCATTATGGCAGGGTAACATAAATTGTAACTAATCAGCACCGTTGAAAGTTTACTGTTTTATGAAATATTTTCTGAAATATTTATACAATGATAAAAGAGAAATATAGAAAATGTTAAAAGAACTAAACTTTTATTTTATTTCTGTTTACATTCCTGAAAATGTACTAATAAGTTCTGCAGGAGGTTTATTTTCTTTATTATAGCAGTAAAAAAGAAGGTATTTAATTTTGATTTATCTAAATGGTTGGTTTGGGTTTCTTGAATTTAAACAAGGAGCTGTGAATATTGATGTTTATTTCAGCACTATCTGAATTAGTGTAAATCTTCTCTCCTGCCATAAAAATAAAAACAGAATGTTGATCCTGCTCATGTACAATGCATGAAAAAGAGTGACACTCCTTAACCAGAGAAACAGATGAAGGGCCAAATCCATGTGAAATGGTCAAGCAACCGAGATACAGAAAGGGTCCTGAAATCTGTTTTGATGAAGCCAAACAGGTAAAATTGAAGTTGTAAGGTTCTAAGAATATCCCTATAAACAATTGTAGAGCAGCTTTAGACAATCAGTGAAAAATGTGTTTAGCTGTACCTTGGTGCCTGGTAACCTTTTTATCACTAAACATACTGTTCACTCTAGACCATAGCCACTTTATTTCAATTAACATAAACTTAACAGCTGCTTTCTTATCTGCCTGTCCTATAACCATTGCACTTTCACACATGATTCCCACTAAAGTATCATCAGTGAGTGCAAAACTGTTGGTCTCTGTGTGGTACTGTGAAACTCAGTTTTTCAATGGCTTGCACAAGTATACCATAATCTTGGCTTAGAAGTAGTATTTTTATAATAATTTTTCCAAATATTATTTAAAGTATTGTTAAATTATTTAAATTTTTAATATGGTTTAGGACATTGTTTCTAATTCTGCAAATTGTACTGCCTTTAGGTCATGTTCTTAGCAGGTTTAAAAGTGCATTGCTTTACTGAAATCACCAAAACTATGCTGTTTGGTACTTCTGTGTTGAATGCATTAGTTTTGAAAGAGAAAAATTATAACTGTGCCACATATCTAAACTATTTTTAATCTTGTTTCTATGTTACCTTTCAAGAGATTACGGTGAATTCAAGTTGTTCAGAATAAATCTCAAATAGTACTGAACAAGGAAGTGCCTGGCATTTGTTACAATAAAAAATTTATAAGTGCATTTTGAATGCCTCATGCAATCCTGCAATTTCTGCAGTGGAAAGTTTGTCCCAAACCAGTGTACTTAATTGTTTATAACTGCTGTATACCAAAATTTGTTCCAGTATGTTCTCTGCTTTTCTTGTAATGAGGCACAATTACTGACATGTCAGTAGCATTTAAAAAGTTTAGAGAATTGGTATTCAATGCATTTTTCTGGTAACCGAATTTTATTTTAAAGAGGAAGTCTTCTTACTGGCCAACAAAGATTAAATAAAGTTGAAAACCCAAAAGCTATTTTGGGATTTTGAAAATCCAAAAGCTATCCAGCCATTGTAAATATTCCAAACGATCCTGGTATGATTGTGTGTGAAAGTACAACTCTTGCTCACTAGCTTGATGTGCTGATCAATGTGTAAGTCATGTGTTTTGTAACAGTGGATTGTTTTGATTAAGTTTATTTGCAAAATTTGCTGTGAATCTCTTGCTCTTGGGTGGATGCTTTCACATTAACTCTGCTAACTGCCAGCAATCTGCATGATATCTCATCTTGTATGTCTTTTTTTCTGTGTTTTCTTTCCTTTCCTCTACTTGCTACTTTGCCCGTTATTAATAGGATCAGCCTATATGCACAACGAGTCGTGCCTCTGCCATGATGTCCGCTCCTATCTTCATTTTTCTGCAAGTTTTCATGTGGTGTGGATGGTCAGTTACTTTCTCTAATTTTTGTTTTGTTCTTGGCTTAAAAAATTAGCAGACTTTTTTACTTACTGAGCATACAAAAGAAAACAGAATGAAGCGAGTCCCAAAAGCAACAATCTGGAGTAAATTACTGTCGCAATATTAAGGGAAATTAAATATGAAAAAAACCTGTCTGGAGCCATATAAATCACAATTACTAAACATGAGGGCCTCTCCCATTGAATATACAAAGACAAGGGAACCTGTTGGATTTATATGGTTGGCTCTTTGAGATTACACATGTACCAGCTGAGTCCACATCCTTCACTTCTAAGAATTTTTTTTCCTTGTCCTTGTTAAAATGAACAGAAGAAGAAAGATTTTTCCATAGATAGAAATAGATACAAAGCAAATAGAAGAGACAGCATACCTGTGAAAGTAAAGCTTTACTTAGGGGTGGAAAGGATGAGTGATATGTGTGTGTGTTATTATTGAGAAGACCAAGGAGTTTTCACTGCATTCAAATGAACACAACAGTAAATAATTGAAGATAATGGTGTGAATCAATTTGGTTAAACTGGGAATTCAGTAAAATAATATTTTTTTTACTTTTTAATTTTTGGCGGCTTAAACATATTAATTGCCTGATTACAGCAGAAGGTGAGGTTTTGCTTCTAATTAACTATGTAAGTTTCTGTATATTGACCAAGTGCAGACTCTGGGGTTTCCAAGTAAAGCCTTGGCAATTGGGCTGTGCTGCATTTGATGGTGTGGGGCTGCATCACGAGTCACTGTGCAAGTGACATATCTGCAAGAGAACTGCTGAGCTAGAGAGCGAAAAATGTGTGTCTGAAGGGGTTTCTGATCAACATTGTTCTGAAAACCACTAGAGGGAGATACTCACATGTCTATCAAAGTAAAGCAAACTGAGGCAGAGCCAAAAGCTTTCAGGGCATTTTTCAGGGCTAGTGTAATGAAATATTGAAATAATTTGAAATTTAGAACAGTTATTTTTATGGTAATTTATATTCTCTCCATACTTAAGGGAAGTTTCAATTAATATATCTTGAACATAAATGAAAAAAAATCTTTTAAATTTTGTTTAACAGTTTCTTCTTTGAGTAATTTTGAAGTTTCTTATTCTGTATTTAAATGACATAGTTTCTTGCAAACCTAGGAACTTGCACAACAATGGCAAAAGATTGTAGGAAAAGGTGAAAGGCCTTTCTTTAAGCCAGTAGTATTTCACATTAAAATCTAGATAAGCATCTCATGTTCTTGCTCATGCAATTTGCTCTGCACATAGTTTCTTTAATTAAAAAGCTACTGTCCAATGTACATAAAGCAGCAGAGACTCACCTTGAGCTAAATTCTTTCTGCCCAAAATGTGCTTTCTACTGAAGGTGGGAAACACCCAGAATATAATTTTAGCTGATAAGCTTTTGGCAGCAGAAAGTTATAAAGGTAATTTTGTTCATCCATCTTGTTTTTAATAACTTTGTGATTTTGGAAACGGGTTCTCTCTGGACATTAATCTGTGTAGTTATATTAAAATCACTGAAGCCAACACAGATACAATCCAGCTGATCAGGTTCACTAACCTGAAGGTTTTTTTTTTTACTTTTCATCAAGGCTAACAAAATAGTCATTATCACTGCCTCAAATGGCTTGCTCTTATTGTGTACATGCACACTGGTTTTGTTACCATGCCTGAGACTAAAGAAAAGAACTGTACAAGTTTTTAGCCCTCACTGGGAATGTCTTACTTCCATCAGCTCCCAGGTATGTCAGTGGGAGCTTTGAGGGTGATTAGCAGTCCAGGCAACTGGATATATCCCAATGGAATTGCCCGTGTCCCCAGTCTGTGCATGGGGAGCTCCACACCTTTGTCAATTTGTCTGGTAGTCCAGACAAAGGAGGGTAACCCAAAATTTGTGAATGACCATGCATTGGAACTGGAAATTACTCTTGAGTAAAAGCAAAGGTGTTCACAGTGTAATATGAAACATTTACAATACATGCTTATAAAAGGTATGACTGAGGTAATCCATTGGTATCAAGGCCACATCAGAAGCTCTTTGGGCAGACATTGTTTTCAAAGTCAGAGTAGCACAGTGAGTTCTGATAAACTGTTATCATTTAAAAACAAACTTTTAGTACATTAAGTAGTTATAGTGAACTTCTAAAGGAGAAACAAGTATATTATAGCCTTAGTGTATATATGTATATACATATCTATAGTTCCAAGTGTATTTTTAAAACTTTGGAGTGGAAGTGTCTTCAAGGAAATGCTGATATATAGCAATGAATATGTTGTTTTGATACTTAAAAATGAAGTTATGGTTTTATAAAAGCATTCATTTCCATTCTGAAAGTGCTAAATAATTTTCTTGGCACGTGATGCTGTAGAACAGCCTTACCTAGAGTTGTCCTAGTAAGGCATGACATGAAGAAGACGACATTTGGATCTGACACTTCTCTGTCTCAAGCATGCAAGAAAATTTGCTGTAATGAATGCAAAAAACTTCTCATACACTTCTGGTGAAATGAAAACAGCCTACAACAATTCTTTCCAATTTCTTTTACAAGTCTCTCTCTCTTCAAAGGGAATTTATACACACACATAATTTTGAAGACAACAAAGAGAGGACATCCCCAGCTGATCTGTTATTCAGGATTTGTGTGATTAATGTCATGGGCTGGAAAATTTCAGTGAAACTGCTTAAAAATAGTTCAGTGTCTAATTGCACTAGAAGAGGTAAAGATAAGATAATGTAAAGAGAAGATAAAACAATGCTGTATATCTTTGTTATAAGATGCTTTAGAAGAAATCTCAAAAATAACATTAACATGAAACAGCTGAAATGTTTTCTTAAAGCTCGGGTAGAGGGGAAGTGTTTTTAAAAAAGGTCATTTTGAAGACCATTCAAAACTGACATTTTTCTCAATCTAGTTTTAAATTGGGGTGGAATCCTGCTTATTTCAAGAGGACTGTTGATTGTTTTAATTCATGTAAATAAACAAAATCAGATTTTGTCCTCTTTTTTATTTTATATTTTCACATTTCCTGTAGTTTTGACAACAGTGAGAGTTGAACAGAAGAAAATTATAGTGTGAAATTCTGTGGGGAAAAAAATTAATTTAGATAGGATTTACTGTACCTTCTTTGCCACGAGTATTTTTGTTTTAGCTTACGACACAAAAGAATTAACTGATTCCAGAGACAATATTTAGAAATTGTTCTTGGCAGAACTGCTGGTTTACCACTGCAAATTGGTCTACAAACCTCAGAAATTTGATGTGGCTTTAATCAATATGAGGTTAAAATCTCACTAAGCTTTAAATATGTGTATAAGCTTTGTATGCTTTTGTGTAGTGCAGTTTAATGCTGTCGTTCATAATAAGATGATGACTGTTCTGCATGAGGCTTCCAAGATATTCTCTACTTGTGAATTGTGAATCCTTTAAAAATTTCCCTGTGTAGTCTTAGGGAGAAGGGAAAAAAGATACTAAAATACTTCATTTCCACCCAATAGGAATATTACATTGTATGACTGGTGAATGTAAGAGAGGTTGAGAAATTGTGCTGTAGTTTAAAAAATAACAAAACTCATACAGCAGATAGAAAGAGACAACAGAATGGAAGGTTTTTTTCAAAAAGATGTGGTGGTAGGATTAATTTATCAACATAATTTGCATAATTTGGTGTAACGCAAGATTACGTAGGCTGAGTCCTGTATAACTCTATATGTGGAGACCCACTTGCTATACTGGATGCCATTTTTGCTATAAAGGTATTTTCTCTTCATGATATGCACAATTTTGTTTAAGACCTTCAGTTTACTACTTATACTCTCCAGACATCTCCTGTCTGTTGGAAATTTTAAATCTCCTGCTTTGCTTTCAACTCTTTCTTCAAAGATGACTCTTCTAAGTAATTTCAGTGATAAGAATAATAAATACCAAGAGGTAACACTGAGTACCATTCACTGAATTCTTGTGAGAGGAAACCTTTACTGATAATTCTGTTTTTGATGGTATTCACTGTAAGGAAGAAGCAACAGGGTTATTTTTAAGTGCTTTAAATAGAAATAAAGCTGCATGACAAGACACAATGCAGATGCAAATAGTGACAGAGCCAAACTAAATAAACCAGAATGTTCAGTGCATCTTGAAATCTTAGCATCCTGTACAAATCTGGTGTTAGCAGAGTTCACTTAGGACTTCTTGTTGACCAGAAATCTTAGGAATTTTGAACTTGTAGAGTGCAATCAACCAAAAAGAAATAAAACCAAACCAAAACAACAGCAACAAAACCAAACAAAACAAAAGGCCTAAGCCAAAACTATACAACTAAATTATAAAGTTTACACATGAAAGAGCTATATCTGGAAAAAGCTACTGTTAATAAAGAATGGCAACCAACATGAGGTATTTGCTTTAGGACAAAATGAATTTTTATTTCTTTCTAAGAAAACTGAATGCTATTTTTGGGGGTTTTTTTAGGGCTTGGGATTGTTGCAGTTTTTTGCATCCAAGTTTCTAAAAGAGACTTGGTGAATGCTATAACTCCTGATAATGTACTGGGTCTACTTTGTCTGCTTTATCTGATTTTCCATATTTTTTCCCAAACTGTTTTGGAAACCTACCAGCTTTAAAGAATGCATTGTGTGCAAAATAAATAGCATTATAATTCTCACCCATTAAAGCTGGTATAAAGAACTCATTGAAGGTCTTTCCTATGCCCTGCAATTCCCAAATTATGTCTTTACACCTCTGTTATGAAGGAGTTGCCCTAACATCATATTTGGCTTTGTGTTTTTAATTTAGTCAAAAAAATTCTATTATCATTTCAGTGTATTCTGCAAAGAGGTTTCAAACAACCACTTTGAAACCCCCCCTGTCCATTTCCTGTTTATACTGGATCTGCCATTTTTATGTACTTTCTTGTTCTTGCCCATTTGATTAAACTTGATGTCCTGCATTGCTATTCTTACAAAGCTGGGAAGTTTTGCTTAAGGAATGCAAAATTTGCTTAAGGAAATTTGCTAATAAATTAAAGCTTGTTTAATGACTCTTTCTTATTTATCATGATTTTATGTTTTATAGACACACACATATCCACACACACCCACCCCAGTCTTGTCTGGGGTATATTAAGTATTAATTGCATATGCCTCAGTGGCATGTCAGTCTGAACTAGGAGCTTTTCTCTGTCTGTTGGCCTTCCTCTGCTTTCTGTTATATATATACTTTTTAATTTCTGTGCCAGGAGTCAGTCGGTTACAGTCAGATTTAGTTGTCTGTCCTTCCCTGCACATATTGCTCCTGTTCAAGAAGTTTCCCCAGTTGCTAACATACCAAATTCCTTTCCACCTACATTGTTTTCTTGCCCTTGGAGGCTTGGAATCTTTTGGAAAATGGAAAGTGTCTTTTTATACCATGGGTGCAGAATCCTGTGAAAACAAGAGAAAGACCAAATATTTTCAGCCTTTAGAGCTACCCATGAATCTCAGACTTCTCAGACAAAGTGGAGAGGGGAAAATTTTCCTGGTGTTTTAGGTACCAATCAGAGTTTGTGTCAGTCTTGAAAAACAAGGTTTAAGGTGTTACGGGCTCCAGAACAGGTATCGAATGTATTTCAGCCAGACTAATGAATAAGTCCAAAATGTGAATGGTATTAACCATTATAAGTAAAGAGAGACCAAAGATCAGCAATTAATGGTGGAGAGGAATGAGGAAGAGTGGTGTGACTGCTGTGTGGCACAAGGAATAGTTACTATTGCATGACAACAGTGCAGATGAGAGAGAGCTTCAAACTGCATCAAGCATGTACAAGTAGTGCAATAGAAAATTTCCTTGTTGTACTTTAATAGAGCACCAGAGGCAGAGAAAGGATTTTCATTCTCTTTAATCATATCTTCACCTGCAGACCATATTCATTTTATTGTGCAGTCATTTGATGAAATGGACATAAACATATTTTTGTGTTTGTTTTCCAAACTTGAAAAGTTATCTGTTCTTCTATCTTTTCTCACAATAAAGTCATACTCACAATCTTAAAATGAATGCAATTTTAAGCAAATAGATGGTGTTTACTGGGGCCCCCAGGTATGTTCCATAGCATTTGTAGATGGATGGTGTAAGTATCCCATCTAGTTCATACGTTTTTGCTGTAAACCTTGAAAGTATTTAATCCTCCAATGTTTATAGTTAAAGTAATAGCGCCACTCTTTGTACCAAAAACCAGGGGAACTTCCAGGGATTATTTTACTGTTGTTTTAGCAAAATAACACATATAAGACCAAAAATGATGCCTCAATTGTAGTTCAAAACATTGAAAACTAAGCTGTAGGTTACCTCTCCAGCAGCTTCCCTGTAATTAATATTAAATGATTTCTTCTCTTCTTGTCGGCAGGAAGATTCGGCTGACTGCGGTGGGGCCTCTGGTCTGAGTCCATCACTGTGGTCTATGGTAGCAATTCAGTTGGCCCTGCTCTGGCTGTTATCTGGCAGCAGACACTGCCAGTTATGACCTTGCTAAACCAAAACCTGCATAACTTAACCGAGACCTGGCCAAAACGATAGCCTCAGTTCCATTTCCGAAAGGGTCAGCCGCTGAGAGAGCAGCAGAAGAGCGGCGCTCGCGTCTGGTTCCCGCGCGTTGTGGGACTCATCGGGGCGCCACGCCGCCTGCATGTTGGAGTGTCAGATCCTCACCCGTGTGTGAATGCTGCATCATCCGCGCCATCCAAACTGATTTCTGTACCTGCCCTGCTGGGGAAAGCTAAAACCTTCTGTTTATTCATTTGTTTGTTGTTGTAATCTTGATGACTTCATGTAAAAGGGCTCCCCTAACAATAGCTGATGTATATGGTTTTTTGTTTCTTTTAAGCTTTGGATATCTTGAGGATTTATATTCTTTTACATGAACAGTTTAAAAACCAAAAAGAAAAAGAAAAAGGAAAATGTTCTCCCCAATACAAATTACTAGCACCACAATGGCTGCTTTTAACATCACTTTTGTCCAAACTTGTTGAGTAAAATGAAAATATTGGCCAGTCTTCACCAGAAGTTCAGCATGATTAGAATGCTTTATGATGAGTGGTTAATTTTCCAAAATGAATCCTACAGCCAGCTAAGCTTTGGTAGGTTGACATTGTATGTAGAAAGGAGGAAAGGGAGAAAACTACTGTTTTTCAAAATTCAAAGGTACTGGAGAGTGTAACTAAAAAAGTGATTTTCATCTTAAACTTGGTATAATCTTCTGTCAGAAAAAAAATTGTTAATTTAAATGTAATATTCACCTCCTTTTCACAATGCAGTTACATATAAAGCTAGTAGAAATTCTTCAAAGGCTGAAACAAAAATGCTTGTGAATAAAAAATGTCTTTGTGATATTTGAATGTTGGTTTCCAGGGGTATTTTGCATGATGATGATGCTAAGTTATTGTTTTTCAGTTTGTTTTCTTTGATGGTAGAGTATAGTTCATTGAAAAGATAACAGAGTGATTCTTGTATTGTGTGAGAAATTGAACATTGCAATGTGTTGCAATCAAATCATATTACATTATATTATGAAACAGAGCTCTGAATATACTGTGCAATGAAAAAGCTGAGAAAATAGGGTAAATATAGCTATTGTAACAAAAGGGTTGAGGTGGATTTTTTACAGAATAGCGATCTCATGAAAACCTGTGTACAGATATTTTAAGAATATAAAAATCAGATTTAACACATTTATTTTTGGAAGTATATGTTCTCTAAGGTTCATATCAGGTTCCCCCTTTGTTTTCTTCATATGAACCCACCTATAATATTAAAACTTATGCTGTTGCTATTTATTATCGAAAATAGCATACTTAACAGCAAAATGATCTGGTTGCTGCAATTAGAAAAAATATAAACAAATGGGGAGCCTTGAAGCTATATGTATGCACATTGATACTTGATTGTGAATAATAACTCTAGAAGTTGTTTTTATACAACCTCATTGGTGATACAGGTTGGTGCAGTAAATTACAATATTACAGTGTAGCATAGTGTTGATGCAAAATATGATTTGCGCTTTTTTTTTTCTAGTTTTCAGAACTAAACAGTATTGCAAGACAGCTAAACCAATGAATGTGCAACTCTGCTGGTATTGTACAGTTCTGCTAACAACTGCAATATGCAAATATTAATATGGCACAATACACTAGCTCATTAAAAAATAAAAAAATGCAAATCATCAATATGTATATGCTGGCAATTGATTGATATAATTTTGATCATGCCAAAAGTTTAAAAAAAAATGATTGGGCATGCATTAATATCCTGTGAAAACTGAGGAAGCTACTCCAAGCCATGGCATGGCTTGAACGATCAGATGTCTACTGTAGTTGTACTCATGGCTGGTTCATTGTTTTTCATGTACCTTGGCTCCAGCTGTGTATTTTCTCATGTTTGGAAATACGGTGAGTGAAAAACAGAAATCCTGACCTTTTGATCAGTGATTAAATCTAGTTTAAAAAAATTATACCTAGCAATGTCATAGGCTTAAAAGTACAATTAAATGTTTTGGATGACTTCAGGTCCTCCCCAGGGAAGGTGAGCTAATGTTGATGATAAGGGTGAAGATAAACTTGGAGCTCTTCCTTCTAGTCATAGTGCTGTAGTTCTATTCACTCTAGCACCAATTACTACCTGATAAAAATTTGGTTTGAGTATTTCTAATGCCAAGACTGCATCCAGTGATTTTCCTTAATGTGGTCAATTGTTGTTCTGTGGGAAGAGCAAGTTTTCTAGGATTAGGCCAATAATTACTGCACTCACTGCTTTTACTCTGAGGTTACTTTAAGTATTTGTTGGTTTGTGTTGTGCTCTTTTAATTTCACGTTAGTATAATATGTTCTCTATAGTTTTCATTTAGCTTCCCAAAGAAACCCTTCATGGACAAGTTGCACTGTTTAAAACACTTTGCCTTTGCTGGTAGGCCATATTCAGAGTTACTCGGTAAGTATTTGATTAGAGTTTGTTGGAAGAAAGAAAGATGGCACAAATTCATGCTGCCACAGGAAACATCTGTGGCTTTTGCTCTCATCCCACTTCCCTTAGAGTGCTCAGTGCAAGAGGAGGGAGAAGCCCATGCCATGCAGACACACAGCCCTCCTTGGTGATCCAAAGTGGGAAATGTCCTTTGTTCCTCTCCTTTGCCCCTCAATATTACCTGAAAAAATGTGTTTCTATATAAATATTTGGCCTTCCAGCTAACATTATGACGTTGTATATAAACATTTAGTCACTATGATTCCCATCTTATTAATACTTTTGAAAGTAGTATTTTAAATACTTTGAAATTATATATTGTAGTATATTCAAGTAATTGTCAAGACTATTTTTAAATACCCCAATATCTGCAAAATGAAAAACATAGACCAAAAATGCAATCTGAACTTCAGCTATCTCAAAATGTCAATACCAGTCTAATAGAAATAACTTGCATGAATAAATTCTCATGCAGAAGAGTATCCTTATTCTCACAGTGCATCATAGTCATCTTTTCTTGTCTTTGAAAGAAGAAGCTTGAGCCTAAAATTTAAATTAAAATATTTTAAGATATGATATACTGTAAAAAGCTGAGGTTTTTAAAGTCAGATGCAAGGCTCTGTCAATGGATGCTCAGCTCCTTTAATAGCATGAAGAGAACTGTTGGGACTGGTTCAGTTCACACAAAAGTCATGCAGTGTATTGTACATCTGACAAGTAACCACCAGTAAAGTTGTTACAGCATGGTACTGTGCAGAACATGATCTGAGGACTTAACATGAAAGGTTTCTTTCTAGTTTTTTTCTTTTAAACAACCAGCATTACTGCCGAAACACTGACCGTGGTCCATATTTGTAACAGGTTTTTAACATGACATAGCAGGTCTGATTGACAAGATTTTTAGGTCCTGTACCTTTAAGACTTTAGTATGATCTTTTTCATGTTTCTAATGCTTGAGGCTTTACTGCTTAACTTGACAAAAAAAACAGTGTTGCTGCCATTTGTAAGTTTTCCTACAATATTCCTTTTATTAACTTAAAACCTGGCCTTACTGGTTTCAAATAGGCAGTATCCCTTTTAAGTGACCTTTGCAACCCAAGTGTTACTTGCTGTGGTTGAGAGCTTTTTGCTGTCACTGAAGAGACATTAAAACCTTTTTTTCCCATTAACACATAACAAACATGCTTAGTATGACTTAATTCCAAAACACAACCTCAGTACCACTGATCCAAAATTCAGATGCTAGCACACTGGTTATTAAGAAATATATTAATGCCAAAAAGGCATTGCAATGCGCTCGAGTGTTTTTGGAATGTCAACCTAAGGTGAAATCTTAATAACTCCTTTCTTAGGATAAATTTTACCCTAACTTCATCAGACATCCAAGCCTTTAACAAAGGCCACATTTATTATTATTTTGTTCATACCACAATGTTAATATTGTTAATACTCATTGTACACTATTGTAAAAAGATTAAAACAAAGCATCTGAATACAATTCAAGACTTTTGAAAAGTTAGCCTCACCCTGTTCCCAGCTACTTGCATCTGTCCTGTTTATGGTTTAAAAGAAAAACATCATCTTGAAGAAATATTTCACTGAGGCTAAAGGGATACTGTCTTGTTCAGATGCCATGAAATTTCGATTGTGATCTGACAAAGCTGTCTTCTCTTCTTGTGTTGTATGGAATGTCTGGATCATGCTTTCTGGGATATTTTTATTGAAATGCTCAGTGTGCGTTTCTGCAAAAAAAGACTTGGTTGCTCTTACAAGGCAAGCAGGTCTTTCTCCCTTTTCTTGTGTTCTCTTGACACTTTTGTGGAACTTGACAAGCCTGGAAAAAAAATAATTTTTTTGTAAAAATTTGTACAATAATGTTATAAAAAGTTTATAATCCTAGAACTGTTGTGTTAATTATTGTGCAAAAACAGTATATTCAGAATAAAAGTTTATCATTTAAAATCAGCAACTATTTTATTGTTTATTCTGTATAATAAAAACATGTAAATAAGCCTATATTATTTGCTATATAGTACTTCTGTGTTTCATGTAGTTAAACCTAATTGTCTGAGGAGAGTGAAGACAGTGACTTAACACAGGTCTTCATGGGGTTCAGAGAAGGATGCACAGCAACCTTCATTTCTGTTTCATTTGTGACTCTGAAAATTAAAAAAAAAAAAAGTGGAAAAGAAAAAAACCCCAAAACTAAGAGTCTGTAAAGCTCTCAGTAAATTAAGAGTCTGAGACAGCTGAAGTATCCCTGTTGTCCTGAAACAATTTCTTTTGGAAAGGTTGCCATTTGCTAACTTATAAACACTGATGAAGTCCAAGGGTTCATTCACATGGAGAAGCAGAGTAAAATCAGATGGCTCAGATGGGTCCTGCCCAAGCTGTTATCCCCACCTCTGACCAAAACTGAGTCATGATCCAGTCAGCTTCTGTACTGCTGCTGTTCTTAGCTGAGGACTATAATTAAAGTGGATGTGTGTACCTCAATAAACAGGCTTGGGGTGCCCAGGAGGTTCTTTGCTGGGTTTCAGACTTCCTGCAGGGGCACTGGCAATCTCTGAAGTGCAGGGTAGAAAGCTGCAAGTAGCAACTGCTTTAGAAGCCTGAATTTAATCCTTGACTGCGAGTGTGACACAGCCTAGAGAGAATGGCAGTTGTAAAATTCTGATGGATTTACTGGATCCCTGAGGAGTAGATAAGAGAATAAGAAATCAAATGCAGATTCTAGTGCTGCAAAGTAATAGATCACCCATGTGGAAATGCTACAAGGCAGTGCATGACACTGTGCATCAACAACCAGAGATTACCAGCCTCAACTAGATTAAACATTGCTGCCTAACTACATGATTATCCCCACATGCTGAATGCACTCCTCCATGATTTCTGTAGGCTGACTGCCATTAAGATGTAGAAATAAATAAATCCCCAAAATCCCTTTCTTGTACATGTTTAGTTTAATTGCTGTATTACAATGCACTAGTTATTAAGTAAAGGAGAAGACAGTCTTGGACAACACAAGGTTTCAAGGTTTTTCCCCCACACTTCTGGAACTTATAAGCATCTTTGACTTCATCAGTTTGATACAGGAATGGCTGCACTGCAGTGAGATATTCTATATTCATCCCTTGTGCAAATCAAACCAGAATGCACTTGGCCTGTCATATTGTATTATTTTGAGAGATGACTTCACATTGTCCAATGCAGCTCTATTGCTGCTAACCATCTACAGAAATCAAGACATTACATAACAAAAATATTACAAAATGCATTCATTGTCGCATCTATTAGTCCAGTGTTCCTTGCAATGCTTGACTGAAAAATGCCCACCCTAAATGGTACAGCATTTTCTCTGTTGCTTAAGACATTGAGAACAATGTCTCTCTTTCCAATCATTTGGAAATATACAAATATATTTTTTTCCAAAATGTATATGGGGGAAGAGGAAAGAAAAATGAGACTTCCAGGAGAATGGCTTAATCTGCATTCTAACTGTATTTCTTCTAATTGTTTTGAATATTTATTAATTTCTCTCTTTGTCAGATTGAGAATATCACATCCTCAGGAGCTGACCTTTTCTTTTGAAACCTTGTTCAGAAACCCAGACACCTTTTAGTGAAGTCTTCCCTTTAAAGAGAATATCTGCCCCTCTTTTCCTTTTGGGGGTTTTAACCTTTTTACTCCTCTGTGTGTTATAAATCTTTCCTTGACTAAATCTCCAGCCCATATTGTATTGATAATCAGTGTATCTTTTGAGGAAATGATAAACATGTTTATGATTTCTCTCACCTAGCTGTTGTCAATTGATTTTGAGTTACTGAACAGTGACCGAAGTTTAGGAGCTGGTTACACATGCTGCAAGACTTAGACAGGCTTTAACCATCTGCCTTAATGATTGGAAAGTGAGTTCTTTGAAGAGACTTTTCTAGCGCTATTTTAGTTGTATGCCTTTTGAAAGAGAAGAGTTAACTTATTAAGGAAAATTTCCTTAATAAGAAATTTTATTATTATTTATTATTTATTATTTATTATTTATTATTTATTATTTATTATTTATTATTTATTATTTTTATTATTTATTATTTATTATTTATTATTTATTATTTATTATTTATAGAAAGAATGAATGTTCTACTTCATCCATTAATTTTTTTTTTGTTTGTTTTTTTTAGTGTGTTTTTAGCACTGCTAGTTTCTGACAGCTGTTTTGAGAAGCAAATATGAAATATAGGATTTCAGTGGTATTCACTCTTCCTTTTCAAGAGTATCTTCCAGTTATTTTTTTCAACCACCGAATTAGTTCTTTCATAAACAAAATAAAACATGTGGATTTGGAAATGAATTATCACTCAGAATTTCCATTTTAGCCTCTGTGGCTTTACCCAGACTCTTCTTGTGACCCAGACTCTTGTGATCTCAGCCTCCGTTCTGTGGCTTGATTATTAAAAAATAAATTTTTTGAGCATTGTAATACACACACTATGGAAATGTTAATTAACATGCCTGGAACACTGACTAACAGCACAATGTTTTGGTATGTGTGGTTAGCATGTATTATTCTTGTTAGCTTGTTCCTTATTATTCTTGTTAGCTATTTTGGGAGTCCAAGTACTGCACATTATGATACATGTTAGTCAGATTGACATATAAACTCTGGGATCTTCAGGAATTAATTAATCTGCAGGAATTAGCTCTAAGAGAAAATTGCAGATGCTGAGGGTCCCCTCTGCCTAAAAAGATACTGTAATACCTAACTTCAAGTGGGTTGAAAGTTAGGAGCTGTTTGTCCTGTTTGTCTGTAGTCTGCACAAAAGAGAAAAGACTCCGTATAGTGGTAGGGTTTGCTTGTGATATCTTTTGGGAATACCAGTCAGGGAAATAACAGGCAGGGAAACTTTGAGAACTTGGGGCTAAATTTTATGCAGTGGGATGAACTAGGTGAGCACTAGATGTCTGTGTTCCTGAGGTGGATAGTGGAGATCCATGATATATAGAATTTCTCCCTATGGAGTAGGGAGAACTATCCCAATGACGAGGAAAAGGCTCCACTGGGAGTCTTACTGCAGTTTGCATACACACATTTCTATTGAAATTGAGGCATGAGGGTGCTAGATCCAGAGAAAATCCAAATAATGGAGATATATTCACTCAAAACTTGACTCTTCTGTTTTTCAGGATCAACCCAGTTCAATTTCTGGGCTCAGGAAATTCCCCTTAAGACAAGGCAGATGTGAATCTAGGCTCAGAGCTCCCAGGGAATGATGCAGACCTACATCTGCTTTAAAGGCCATTGCTATGCAGACACAGTGGAGGACATGCCAAACTCCAGGCTCTGAGAGGAGCTTGGTTGGTGCCTGTGGTTGGAGCACAGTCTGAGCTAACCCTGAATGCCTTCCAAAGAAGAGGGGAGATAGTAGTGGGGGTGAAGGGGATGTTACTCATCTTTTGAATCATGTTCTTTCACGTATAATATGTGTCTCAAAAGTGTAAAGTTTGGTTCTAGTCTTTTTTAGTCTGAGAATATCTATTCTCAGAGAGTAGAGAGGATCTGAGCACTTACATTCAGAGGCAGCAATGACCACTAGCCCATAGGTTGGATGGCTACCTTGAATGGTCTTGCTGTCAGGCTGTTGAAGATATGTCAGCAATAAGACAACTAATCGCCTTTAAGCATTTGTTGTCTGGTGTTTTAATGAAATTTTAATACAGTTTATAGTAATTGTTATTATTTCATTATGGAATGAGAAGAAATTTAGAGATAGGTAGAACTTGAAGATCTAGAGGGTTCTGGAAAGTTAAATTTCTGTAACTATGTGCAAGCTATCCCAGTTTTGTGTGTTTGGGGCCTTGGCTAAGTCACATTTTGGTTCATAAATGCTGTGATTTGGGATTCTGAAACTAGGGAGTGTTTCTAGGACATTTCTGAGAAGGGCATTTATGTCATTAATCACTTGAACTTTCTGATTTTTTATATTCATGTCCAGTTCTAATCTAGCAAGTCATACAGTGCCAAACTCTAAAATCAATCCTTAATTTTCAGTGAGTGGAAGGTGTCGCCATCAACAAGGAAAGCAGCTGTGCTGAAATCTAAGCATTTAGGATTAGAAGTAGGAAGTATTATTGACCCCAGATTTGGTTTTAGTAGACTATTTTATGACTTGGAAAATATGTTGCTCATTGATTCATTAAAACATTTTCTAACCACTTGTGATGGTTTCCAACTTTACATAACCCTTAGCTGAGGCAGTAGCATGGAAGAATGGTGGTGACAGATTGCTTGTATTTAAGTTGGGCATTGTTTTAGCTCTTGGATCCTGGTACAGTTCATAAAATTTCTTTTTCTCAAACCTGACTTGTTGTGTGACCAAACTGTGAGGGTAATATGACCAAGAGGAAAGTAAATTGTAACTAGAACATCCTGCAGAGAGGGCACATCTGGTCTCAGTAGTGCCTCCTGCTCTCCCCAGGATTCACCCACCAGGCTGAGGAGATTGCTGAGCAATGCTAGCACTGCCTAATAGTTCTCTGGGGGTGTTGGTATTTTGGGTGTTTCCACCTGAGTGGAGCACAATTGTGTATCTCTTTCTCTGTCTTCATTTATTAGCAGCTACGAGTTCAACAAACTACATATTTGAGCTGTCATCTGCCTAAAATTTCAGTGAGAAAAATTGTAAGTCGGACACAATAGCTTTCAAATTCTTCCACACCTCTTGGAGAATATAGGTGTTAAACTAAGATTTTGAGGTATTAAGATGTTGGGAGGAAGTATTAACACAGACATAAATATTTTCATGTCTTTTAGATGCTACCCATGGGCTTCCAGTAACCTGTCAGTGTGCTTTGCTTTCCAAGGTCAAAGAGCCCACTGTGCTTTATTCTGGCAGATGGCATGAGTAAAAACTGTGCTTTAAAGCAGCTTGCACGTAAGGCCTCCTTTGCAAAGCATGAAGGAGAACCTA